ATCACTTAGCTAAATATTAATGTGGCAAGACACACATTAAGCGATATATCTATTGTCAAAACTTTTAACATGGCACAGAACGCAAAAATAGGCATGTTTGGAATATTCAAATGGCTGCCAAGTGTAAAAACAGTTCTGCAAAAAATAGCCATCTAGATTTTTAGTTGCACGATTGCCTTGAAAATGAGACAATTGTTAAATTTTATGAAAATCCGTTAAACTGATAAAACGAGATTTGAACGTAATTTACACTACAGAAGAGAACTCCTTACCGATATCGTTACGGCTGCGAATATAGGGTAGCTATATATGTATACATTTCATTTATGTATGTTGAGTACGTGAGTACCAAGTAGGTTAACTGGGCTGTCTGAGAGTGACGTGAGCCACGCACGAATGATTATTGGTGGTAAGCGAATTGCCGAGAGGTAAACTATTAAAGTATTGTGTTGAATGACAGCTGACAGTTGCAAGTCCCCGAGTATAAGTTTTTAGCTCGTGCATGGTTTTATGTCGATGTCAGTCTGTTCTGAGAACTTGTAGAATGCGGCCGTATATTGTTGAACACTTTCAATATAGAAACTTCTGAACTTGTCTATGACAGCTAAACTTGTACTCGAGGCGACGTAGCCTACAATTGTTTATACGTGCATGTGTGTTTGTGTGCCAGATACAGGGCATGTTGGTGTGTTTGCCTCCTTGTGATAGCGCGGATCTTATGTCGACTTACAGCGCTATCTCACTGATATACAATGCCGAAGGCACCCAGCACAACATTCCGCCGGTCACATTATAATGACAACGGGTGAACCAGTTTTTGCAATTACCCTTAATGCTGAACGTTAAGCAAAGAAACTTTGGTTTGTCCCGGCCTGGGGACAGAACCAATTGCCTTCCTCACCTGGGCGAACGTTCAAAATTCAAGCCAAAAGTGAGGTGTTGTCCTTAAAAATGGTAGTTGTTATTCCCCGCTTAAAGTTCAGCATTTAGGGGAATGGCAACAGTGAGACTATAAAGTCGCATCAGATTCGCGCTATCACTGGGAGGCAAGCATACCAATATATCCTGTCTCCTGCACACACACACATGCACTGCAATAGGACGTTAAACAAAATTAAGCCAAACCAAATCTCAGTCTTGGTGTTATATGATGAATATAAAAGCCACATTTCAATCGGCCTGAATGAGTGGGCACAAAATAATCATTTCATATTGTTTGTCTCTCCTCCTCACTGTTTATTTTCGGGAGTCGGGCGGGAATACCATTACCAGGTTTGACTTATGTAAGATTTCATGTAAGGCAACCCTCGCACCTTCAAACATCCAGGCTCCATTTAAAAAGTGTGGCCATTTGATCCAAAGGTGATATCAGATTCCCTTGTTGCTCCATCTCTGTCTTTTGCCAGACCAGGCCCATCTGATGAATCACTTGATTCAGGTAAAACCAAAAACATTTCGCGAACTGGTGAACAATTCTTGGAATCCAGAGAATTTGAAGATTGTTAAAGCTGCAAAAGCCAGGTAAACATTAAGCCGTGTGGTTGCAGGCAAACCCATACCGGATGAAGATGTGGTACAGCAAATTAAACATCATATTGATTCTCAGGTTTCCAACAAACGTAAGAATACTGCATCTAGACATGTTGCTGGAACTTCTGGACACGTCCCACAGAAGACAAAAAAGCAGTAACATCTATCCCGCATGATTCTGAATCGTCCGACGAAGAGAAGTGCTGCGTCTGCGGTAAATTTTGCCAAGAAGAAATGGCACGCCTTCCTTACGTCAAGTTTGCAAAGTGGGCTGAATGCGAGGATTGTGGTCGCTAGGTACAGTACTGTATAAGTGGAAGAGTCATCTGGCGTGGTCACAATTTCTTCTGTCCTGATTGTACCAGGAAGAGGGCTGAGTAACTATTACTTGCTATGAAAACATTGTTTGGTTTGGTTTGGTTTAATTATGTTTAACGTCATATTAACAGCTAAGGTCGTTTAAGAACGAGCCTCAACGTGTGTAGTGTATGCGTGCTTGCGTGTGTGTATCCAGGAGACAGGATATGTTGGTGTGCTTGCCACCTTGTGAAATCGCGGATCTGATGCCGACTTTATAGTGATATCTCACTGAAAACCTATGCCGTCCGGTCACATTATACTGACAACGGGTGAACCAGCTGTTGCCATTCCCCTTAATGCGGCCTCACGTTTGGCCTTTAGTTGAGCGTGTGCCCCTGTGAGGGAGGCTTTGGATTATGTCCCCTGACCAGGACACTCTACTCCTGCTTAACGCTCCGCAATTTAGGAGTGAGACGACTGGTTCGCCCGTTGTCAGTATATTGGGACCGGGTGGGGGGTCTTCGGCAGTATGTTTCAGTGAGGTAGCACTATAAAGTTGGCATCAGTTCCGCGCTCATCGTCGCATACCCACGGTTGATTTCGCTTCGGTACCTACCGAAACGAAATCAACCGTGGGTATCCAACGATGTTCCGCGCTATCAAAAGAAGACAAACACAAGCATATCGCAGCCTCCCAAAACACACGCATACACTACACACATGCATCTCGCACACATGTGAGGCCGTCCTTAAATGGCCATACCTGTTGACAGGACGTTAAACAAAACTATACTCCTTTTCTTAGTGCTGAACGTTAAGTAGGGAATAACAATTACCATTTTTAAAGACTTTGGTATGATCCGGCCTGGGGACAGAACCCATTGCCTTCCTCACTTGGCCGCACGCTCAACATTCAAGCCAAAAGTGACGTGTTGCTAAGCAAGGCGCTAGGAAATAAAAAGGTGCTTAGAAGTAGAAAGAAAGATAAGGATCCCAAATATTGCAATGGGCGCAACAGATTTCTTTTGTTCGCTTTTGTGTCCCCAGATAGAGGACACCAAAGAAAATCCTCAATTCTGCAGGAGGTCCTTCATTACTCATTAGTCGCCTCCTACGATATTTTTCCCGATCCCCCACCTGAAAACTATTTTTCTTAAAATTGTTTTAAATTACTTTTTCGTGCTAATTTCGCGAGTTAAGAAGATTTATTGGCCTGAAATGTATATAGTACAGCATTTCACGTTCGAGTTAACTTTTTTACTGTCTTTATGGGCCACTGTACCAAGGAAAGGATGACCGTCGGATTCTGATGACGTAGTACGCACGTAGACAAGGTAAGCAGTCGCCATGTTTGTTGACGTTTTCTGTAGCAGTATTTATCAAGGTTTGTCGATCTTTTACAGAACAGTGGCAATATTAGTAAATGATCTTAATTTGACTTGTTCCATAAAAAGTGAACTTGCTCTTACACCGTCGAACAACCATGACACCGGGGTATGTCATGTCAAAATCGAAGGCTCAGCGGCGCCACCTTGTGAATGATACAATACGACTAGTTTGATTTACGTTTGAATTAACCCACGGTAGTGTAACGGCATACATTGCGCATCCTCGATATCCAGGGGTTACGCACACTTTCGCTCACTTCACACCTGGAATATGTCCTAGCAAATTGAAGGCACGCGGCTAGCTGTTTGATTGGTGTCGGGTAAAAAAAAACCTGACTAATCACTAGGCTGATACTTGTCCTTTGAAGATTACAAAAGAGCGACGCCCGACTGCAAAGCCTATCATTTGTTACGGTTACGCGACCGCGAGATTATTTTGATGTAAATTGAAAGGACTGAATTAGTCTTTTTATCTCATCCACAAGGTGCTGCACATTGAGCCTTCGATTTTTCTATGACATATTCCAGGAGTGCAGAGAGCGTAAGTGAGCGTAACCCCTGGAAATCGAGGATGACATTGCGCGGCTTTGTAGTCTTGTGTTGCTCCTCTGTACATTTCAAAGGAAGGTATCAGCCCAGCGATTAATCAGTTCCTTTTTCTGCCACCAATCAAATAGCTAGCCAGGTGCCTTCAATTTTGCCATGACATATTACAGGGTTGCAGTGAGCGTAATCCCTCGAGTATTGAGGATTACTAGGTGAAAGAAAATTATACATTTACATTTTAACTCTTAACTGTTTCACATGTCCCCCAAACTGCTCCCATAGTCGCAAATGATCCAATTGACGGAAGCAGCTAGACGAACTAGAAAAACAGAGAAGAGCAATACTAAGAAGCGCAGCAAAGCACCAACTGGAAATCCTCTTGTTCTGATTTGATTTCAGCTTTTGCAATTATATAAAATCCCTAAAAGGGAAAGAAAAAGGGAAAAGAACTGGTAAGCGCAAACTACAACAGAGAATTCGGAATTCTCCAGCAACATTTTCTATACCTTCTCTTAAACTGAATCTTCTTTTATAACCAATTCTCATTTTTAAAGCGGAAAAAATCATGCCCCGTCCTCCAACGAAGTGCTTGTTACACTACGTTATTATAAATTGTTAAATTGAACATGTTAATCAATCAGAAAGGAAAGTGGATTTGTTTGTTTGTGGTTAAACGTCCCAACAACAGCCAGGGGACGGGTGCCTAGGTATACATAGTCAGAAACAGAATGTAAAAAAACCCCAGAAAGAAGACAGAAAAGAGAGCAATTTAAAAAACGTCCAGTGTGGCAATGGGGGCAGCAGATCAATTTTTGTCTCTTCTTTGTCTGCGTACAAGACACGAAAGAAAAATACCGATTCTGCAGGGCCCCACATTAGTCGCCTTTAACGATGATGCAGTGGGACACAGCAGGTCTAGTCTGCACGAGTTAAAATAGATAGAGGTATTGAAGAAATGAAAACAAAACCTCCCTCTCCCCAAGAAAAATGAATTATAATAAATATATAAAAATATAAATCATGACATCGTTAACCAGTTGATCAAAACCAGATTTTTCAAAAAATAACTGTTTCAAATCTTCAAATCAAGAAATAGTTTTTCTACAAACGACCATTATATATCTTTATATGGGTAATTTTAGACTAAAATTAAAATTTCTATGACATTTCTTGAGCATTGAATCGATTTCATGAATACGGACCTTGATGTTTCAAATAAACAGCAAATCGTGGAGATATAGAAAAAGTTTATTATGCAAATAAATATGATACAGTCACCTCAGTATACCGTATTAAATGTGACAATAACAAACTTCACTGTAATTATACAATTATTATCTTGTGAAAATACCGAAAACTTTCTCAGTAATATAATATAATAACAAAAAGTTGCGCATTTCACTTCATGTCTACCAATGAAAGAATATGCATTCACTATTCATTCACACTATAAATGTAATACACAGTTTCTTCATACCGTTTAGGTTGGTTGGTTGGTTGTATAGGGTCCTATCAAAACTAAGGTAATTTAAGGAGGCGTGTTGTGTATATGTGCCGGAGACAAAGTAAGTTAGTGTATTTACCTACTTTTGTTTTGCGGATCTGATGACGACTTTAGAGTGCTACCTCGCTAAAATACCACAACCAGCACAGCATTCCACACCGTTGGGGGAAAAGTTATTGAGTAAGATATGGCAATACAATTTATTTGATTCCTGCATAATAATAATAATAATATATTAATACATTATAAAATATTTGATGTCTGCCAAAAATACACTGTCGAAGACTGGATAAATCGTGTCCAATTAAAATCATGGCACAAAGTTAAGTTATCCGAACAGTTTGAGGCCAAGCATCAGGAATCGTCATCATCTCACGGATAAACCTACATTCCTGTCCCACACGTGATATATCAATAGGATGTACCACTAATACACTGATCAAATAACATCATCATATTAGAACTATAACCGGAACCTAGATCTATTTTTTCTATCCAATCACATCTTTGCATTTACGTATTTGTTTCATTTTTTCATAAACTTGTGTGTTTATTTGTTATATTTCTCAAAGGTTGCGTAATATTCCAAAAACGACGTAAATCTAAAGAAGACGGACACTGGTAGCAAAACGTTGTACACAACGCTCGATAATTCTGTAGGAAAATTGTCATGTTCCAGCATCCGTGTAATCGAAAATTCAGATAAAAGAAAACTATTGTTGAACCAGAAGATAAAGTTGCATATCATGATAAATATCAGAATCGATTCAAGCAAATGGATCTTTAATCGAGGGTCGGATTTCTTACATCGGTTAGCGTGCAACAGAAACACAACTTGAAGATAGTTTTGGACTATGCTTAAGATACTGGTGGCCATGAACGCATTATTGAACGACATGTCACCACCTATCCCTTCACAGATGTGCATCATGAACAAACCGAATGCGGACAGCAAATACACGTATTCCGAAGGTTTTAAATCTTCTGGTGAAGTGTCAGGAGTGCAGTAACTAACCAAACAGAAGAAGCCAATAAAGACTGCAAGCACTATTATAACTTTTAGTGCTAGTTCATATATTTCAGCGACGTTTCGCATATAGTCTATGTTTCCTATATCCATTGCCATGACAACATAACAAACAATAAGACCAAGTCCAGCTGTTATGCTAAACACTAGTGTTATCAACTGACATGCCGTTCGCTTCCCTTCATTTCCAGAACGGCGATGTTCACTCGCTGTGAAATTTGATAGAAGAGGTAACCGCTCTGTGTGCTCTATGCCACCTATTTCCAAGTACGACGTTTCCTCGTCAAGAAGCTGCACTTCTTTCATAGGCGACCATATTTCCAGAAGAATTGTACAAGACAAAAGACAAAATTCTGTAAAATTTGGTTTGAGAATAGGATTTGATTTTTCTAGTAAAACAGAAATAGTGCTGTTGTTTTCCAAGCAGTTGGCTATATCGGAGTCTGGGTTCCTATCAATGACAAACAAAATTGTTTCACCAACTAGTGTCACATACACAAACATGCATACATTCGCAACTAACAGCAAAGACATTGAATAATTAACTAAATGAGTCTGTTTCAGTTCATATGGCGAAAAGTACGTAATGACAAACATTTGTGAAAATAGGCATAGGAGCAATATGATATTGAAATAAAATAAAATGTTCCAAAGATATCCACCAGCTGTGTTTTTTGAACACTCAATTTGCTTGCTGACGAAGAAAGCACAATAGAATGCCGACGCTAAGCCAAACAGCCACAGGAATACCACCTGCAGTTTCGGGGTACTTGCGTTCCGTCTTGCAGCGACAATGTATTGGAGACCATGTTTATGCACCAAGTATCCTTGAACACAGAAGCCAATCACTGCGAAGATCATAAGTAAGGACAGAAGAATCAGAACAAATCCAAGACGAATTTCAGAATGTGATGGTATTTTTTTGCTTGCGGTAAACACTATCACTATTGAAAGTACGACCAGGAACAGAACTCGGGACGAGATAATACAGTCATAATACCCGGATCCATTCTGCCGTCTACGGTAATTACCAGCTATGAATGGCAGAAGCAGTATGGACGTCAACAGCTTGCCACACCAGGAATCCATCGGAGAAAATCTAAAACAAAACAATAACAGATAAATCGATCAATCCATCAATGAAAAGAATTTAATGTTTACCGTTTCATGTGTTAACATATTATCTGTGGCCTGTACGTTTTGAATCGTTTGGTTTGGTTTAGAATCAAGTATTGCTATCGCTATTTCTGAAAGTTTATAACGGTGTTCATTTCAAATTGCATATGAAAAATCCCCTTGGTCATTTTTGTGCATGTTTCGTTTTAGGACTAATTGGAAATTACAAGGATGCCATCTTGCATTCTGAGAGTTCAAGATTGTTTTGCTATTCTCAAACCATGAAGTCCCTGCAGGTAGGGCGTAATAATTGTACCCACTGCCCCCATTGCATGATCGTAAGAGGCGACTAAATTTGGAAAAAAGAAATAAGTATACAAATGAATATGACCACATTCGGATAAAACGGCTTGATACAACGCTAAAAGCACGGTATACTTTATTTTGTTTAACGTTCTATAACCGATAAGGTCATACATGTATAGGGACGTGTCTGTGTACATGTGCTTATGTATAGTTATGTTTAAACATCTTTAATACAGCCGTTAACGAAAAACACATTTGTCATTGCACAAAAAAGGTGATGTATCAAATCTCATTCCCCTCGGAAACGGATTGTATGTGCACGACAAATATGTTTTTAAAACCATAATTTGATATGACCACATCTAGATAAAGTAACTTGACAAAACACTTAAACTCTCTTTGTTTCCTGTTTTATGGTTGGTGAGGCAGAGAAACTTGATTACAAACTCTATATTTTCTAAGATACGCATAACAGGTAGTAGTCATGTATATAATATCATGGGTTTCCCATCTTTTATTTACTTCCTCTTCCTGAATTGATGTCCTTACTATTGTGTATACAGTAAAGCCCAGTCTACTGGGATACCTGATTCTGTGGAAGAACATGGTATCTTCTTGTACTAACTCGACTTCCGTCTTTATGAATTATTAATAAATTTATATATAATATATGTATTGCATTGTTCTGAATCTAAATGAAGCTCTTGTACGAATAAATGTAAATAAAAAAACCTTTTAAACAACCTCGCTAATTAACTCGTGTCTAATCAGCTGAAATCAAATGAAAAAAAATCATATCTCAAACAATCGTTTTTGTAAAGTATTATGTAAATCATCTGGCCCTTTAGAGGCCGATCGGCATGGCTAATATTGGGGAGCAGTTACGTTTGTAGCATACACGTTTGCTTATCATCAACATCTTGTAAACAAAATTATTAGAGGGATTAACATTTTTTCTGAGACAACACATACCCAGGGATTTGGTTTGTTCCTATTAACAGCTATGGTAATTTAAGGACGAGCCAGGTTTTGGTGGTGAAGGAAAGCCGGTATTCCTTGAGAAAAACCACCGACCTACGGCCAGTACCTGGCGACTGCCCAACGTAGGTGAAGAACCCGCGACTCAGTCATGGATGGGTAGTGGTAGCAGAACGCCAGACGCCTTATCAACTTGGCTACCGCGGCCCATCAGAGGACAAAGGGGATTAAGAGGGGAAGACAAAATAACAATAGATCAGAAGTAAAAGTCAAATACGTTTGCTAATTTTAAAAATGTTAAGTTATTGGCAGGTTAAAAAATCATCATTCCAGACGCAGACAGCATAATATATTTGAACTCTGACCTGAAGTTAAGTGTGAACGACTTTGTATGTCATAAGTGTCAACGATTTTCTCCAGTCATATCAACAATACACAGCCTAACACACTGACGCAACGTAAAAGAACAAAAATGTATTTATAGCCCAGTATTGCAAAAATAAAAAAGTAACTTATATGGTTGATGACGAGCCCAGGAAAGAAGCTTTATATTTTTTCATATGTTCATGTATATATCAGACTGTACAAAGATAAGAGGTTGTTCATACATTGTTGTATGACACAGAACTAGAACGCTGTCCTGGCCTAAATTCGCTTTCGTGTTGTTTATTTTAGCTAGGTTGATGATATTGCATCAGTTACATGCAGGGATGAAGGGTTACCAAGTATGTTCAAAAAAATGACTTTACTTAAACCCAAGGTCTCAGAGGTTTATTTTGTCTTAAAATGATTTTAAACAACTTCTTTGGAATAATCAAAAGGACCAGGTTCATATTTGGTTAGTTGCATGCAGGAAAGAAGGGCTGCCAAGTTTATCAAAATAAATGGACTTCACCTTTATTTAAGGTCACAGGAGTAAAATACGTAAAAAAAAATTTTTAACTTTCTTCTGAATAAAAGAAATAATGACTTTTTTTAAATAGTTTTTGAATTGGTTCCCGGACATGTTTGAATACCAAGTAATGAAAAGACATAGCGAAAACAGTATTATTGCTACCATTTGTTGACTTTAAATTCATTTTACTGATTTTAAACCATTTAAAACAAAATTCATATGATCGCTAATTGTAATCAGTGCTTTAACAACGAATAAAACTCTATTAAACCTGAAATCGGTGAATGACGTCCTAGCTACAGAGAGAGGCGCCGATACGAGGTTGTCCTTAACCGTTTCCGGATGTGTCATTCATACATTGGTGATTGTTATTTATTGAAATGTGAAGCCCAGTCTCAATACATTGCGTGTCAAGATACATTTTCAGTAAAACACTTATAAAAAGATTGCGTCGACATTCAGTCAACTCAACAAAAAGTCTATAATAACGTTTCATATCTTAAATATCTTGTCGAAAAATAAACTGTCTTGACATGTTTTGAACTATTCGAAAGCTCATGGTCTTTTTTTAAAAAACAATGAGTCAACAAAAACAATGAGTCAACATAACCATTTTCGATAAAATCTTAACGATTTTTGATTGGGTTATATTTTTGATTATAATTTTGTCGAATATTTGATCGTCCTAATGACTTCTCCTGTGTTGATTGTCCCTTAATCATGCAATGATAACAATAATAATGTATCTACTTCCTCTTTCTGAATAAATACCCTTAATGTATACATTAGGTCCAGTCTTTCGTGAAATCTGATTTGGCGGGGTGACTTGGCATCTTCTTGTTTCAACTTCTTTATATAATGTATTATTGATTCGTTTGCATTTAATTACTATTTTTACATTTTCTGAATGTAAATAAAACCCTCGTACTTTGAATACAAATAATTATTTTGAAATATTCTAAAAATAATAAACCTGTTAAATTTACGTTCACCTGGCTCTGGACAGGCCGACAGGCATGGCTATTATTGGTTAGTAGTTGCTGATAAATAATTTCACAAAATAATTTTTAGTATTACTTTGTTATACAACACAGATACACAGAGAAAATAACGAAGGGAACAAGACAACGAAAAAAGTGAACAGAAGTTAAGTGTTTTGACACATTAAAAATCAGCATCATAGGCGATGCAGACAGCATAATAAATTTGAACACTTACCTGTAGTTAAGTGTGAACGTGTTGGTATATGACAAGTGTCGGCGATTGTCCCCAGTCATATCAGTAATACACAGCCTAACAGACTGACACAACGCGGAAGAACAAACATGTATTTACAGGGACCACGGTATCAAATCAAACATAGATTGTGGGTTTTTCCCTTGGGCAGAAGATTTGATTGGAAGGTGAATGCCTAGGGGCCTGGATATGACGCTTTACACCATTCAGCGTCCCTGGACACCAGATGATGGGACCCACCAGTATATTTCTGAACCTAATCATGGATGTGTTTTGACAGAATTTAGAGGGAAAAATTAACTGCAGGTGGATACTATGATGGAAATATAACCCATGTAGAGAGTGTGTGGGGGGGGGGGGGGGCATGGACGATGGAGGATATCGTGCGTATTGTGGTTAGATGGTATAGATGGCCAAATGGACACAGAACAATATAGATTGCCGAAGGAGGATTAACCGTTAACCGATGAGGGACTGTGACGTCATGATTTTGGAGGTCAGTCATCTCTGCCACAACAGGCTTTTGTCTTGATATGAACCTACATATTTTTTTTATTAATAATCTATTTATTTATTTATCTTCCTTTCTGTCTCTCTGTCTCTCTGTCAATATTAAAAAATAACAAAGACCAGTTTTTAATTTCTCAATATTTTAATGTTTCATTTCTTTTTCTCAATCATAACTCTGTCTTTCACATAAAAGTCTTCATCAGTTTTGCAGTCATGTAATTTGAATTATTATTTTTCTTCTGAATTTTACACCACAATGATGTCTTTTTGTTCTTTATCTAGGTCCTTGGACACAGAACACCCAGCATTGAGTTCAGACCCAACCCCACTACACAGTTCTTTAATGGCAGTCCATGGTTCACAGGATACACCGCCCTATGAGCGCTTCCTGAAAAGTTACGAGTGAAGTTCACACTTGATGGTGGAGACTGCTTCATTTTGGTGTTGTAGTGTTTGTACAGTTATTAGTCTTTACTTTTGTGTCTGTTTATTGGCTCTTTTTCTCTAAGTAATTGCTGGTGTCCTGAATTTTTTACATAAAGTCCAAAATTAAAGAGGGTATAGGTCTTACAATTGAGTTATCTCCCCTGATCTTCAGACACACAATATGTTATTCGTTTATATTTCTGAGTAGTACAGTACCTGTACTTTAATAAAAACTCAAAACCATAAGTCTAAGTATAATGTTTATTCAGATATTAAAATTTACATTTCGAAATCGTTTCAATTTTCATGTTTTTTCTTGCAGGAATCTCCATCTCCAGTACCAGTAGAAGACTTGACCTACCAGCCAAAGCCTTGGAGCCAGCCACTTCCTATTTTGGAATCATGCCCTATGGTCCTGACGTTTTCCAAAAATGGTAAATTTGACAAATATATGGGATCCTATAGCTCAGTATTGCGAAATAAATCAGATGGAAGAAAATGTATCTTTAGTTCGCTGTCCTGGCCTCAAACTAACTTTCAAGTTGGCAAATACACCAACATATCCTCTCTCCGGGACACAAACACGCATCCACAACATACACGGAGGCACGTCCATAAATGACTTTGGCTGTTAATAGGTCGTTGAACAAAATATAATTAAAACCAAATTATTTTCTTTATTATTTTAAACTTCGTTAAAGATATTGCGTCAGTAGCATGCAAGGATGAAGGTCTACTAAGTTTGTTCAAAATAATGAGCTTCATCTATATTTGAGGTCACTGGGGTCAAATATGTTTTTAAAACTTGAACGTAGTCTTTTCTGAATAACCAAAAGGTCAAGGGTGTTATTTGACTAGTGGTTTGCTCGGTTTAAGGGCATGTTCTGTTATGAATAGGCTTCATCCATACTTAAGTCACCGGTTGGGGAGGGGGATGAATAGGCCTACTTTATCTCACTGAATGATCGTATGGAGCGACGTATGTGGGACCCCTGCAGATTCTGGGGTGGTTTCTTCCTTTTCTTCTGTTTAGATAAACAAAACAAAGACTTGTTGTACGTTGGCCCACAGCAGTAATAAGGAGTTTACCATATTTATGTAGCCATTGGCTCTTCAAATTATCATAAAGACAGGCTTGATGGTTTGATATTGTGTTTATTTCCGTAGGAAAAACCTGTAGCATTAACAAACAAATACAATAAATACATTTGATAACACATTGACCTGAACTTACATACATCGAAATGAATACAAAGACGCGAGTATACAAGACGGTAAATTACAAATGTACAATGACAGTTTGAACATTACAGACAGACTTACCAGGCTGATCTGGAGGGATGTTGACTCCTACGAGTCCTGGAGAGGAATGGCTGGAGAGAGTTGGGTTGGGACGTGACAGGACTCCGGTCTGCTCGTGCATTCCGTTTATACTACTCAGCCCATTCAACCAATCAACGCACGCACGTACATACTGACATGTATTTACTTATGTAAGAATGACAATGTTAAGCACGTAAAAGATGATGTGTTAGTGCAGTGAACCTAGTACATATGGGGTACAGGGTTGAATGGGTTACATTTAGTAGGTACATGTCATGGCAACTGCTAAAGTAAACAGCACTTGCCAGGTTAAAATGTCTGCTTTACTGGAGCGGTTGTTTTGTCACGCATCTGAGTGGCCCATATCAGCCATTTCGCTAACCGTTGACACAATTAACATTCCGAAAAATTAACGCGTGATTGTAACACAATACAGGTATGCTCGCCTATTCATTTATAGGGATACATGGCTCCATCTTGTCCCTTATAAGAAGGTGTGCTTTACAACCTTGTCTTGTCTGGTCTCATCAGATTGGTATAAGTCTTTTAGTTTGGTCTGGCATGGTCTCTGGAGTCAAACCGAATGGCTATATTCATTTTACATAATTTATATATCTCGAAATGGTATCGATAAGTTAATCAGATAAATAAATAATAAAGAGTTGATGTCTTATATATCTTGATATAACTCTATATGTAGCCGTTCCCTCAATCGATTATCTGAAGAACTCAAATACAGTGTCTTGTGTAGAAAGTTTTTAGTGATATTGAAATATCAACTTTAGATTAAAAGTAAGGTTAGCCAAACATTTCCCATCGGGGTACTTGTTTGGTTGTTTTGGGTTCAAGATCCTCACAACAGCCTAGATTGTTGAAAGACAGGGTCTAGATACAACATCGAAAAAGTGAGAAAACCATTAAAGATCATACGTGTCGCAAAAGAGGCACCATATCAATTATCAATGTCATCCAAGCATAACACGAAACCCTAGATTCTGCATTGAACACTAGTCGCCTCTTAATAACGATATACAGAGGGATATCGCGGGCCTATTTTTTCCAAGAAACGGCAAGGGTCCCATCAGGTTGTCAAGAGTGAAACAGCCAATGTTGTTAAAGAGCAAGAATGGTTTTGAATTATGTCACTAGATTATATAGACATGCACATTTGATGATACTTTTCGATCACAAATGTTTTATCACAATGACAAATACTAAAGGGAATAGTAACATTAACATATTGTTATTACGATTTGCATCAACGTAGCTGCAACAGAAGTTAGGGATCATTGATAATGGTACAGTGTAAGGATAGGTTCCCCCCTCCCTCCTTTCTACGGACAGTTAAATCAAGCTAATATCAACTGAGACAGTCGCTTTATAGACTGATAATAACATGTGTACCGACGTTATACGTGTTCATGTACATATGGTATTTTTTTGCATAGACTTCTTCACATCTGGTTGTAAAAATAACTAGTTGTGTTGTGCTTGAGACGAATGGACTTTCTTTCCTTGCGTGTAAGGTCACATGTACCAAGTCACACATAAATAACTTCATATTCATGTGATAGATTTAAGGGGGAGGTATACACAGAATGGGGTCAATTTACTCTTGTGAAATTGTATGACCTCTGATCATCTGAAATTCAATTTTTTTGAATGGTAGGCTTAATGGTTGAGTGTAATTTGTTCTTTAGGCAAAAATAATTAAAAAAAAAATAAAATGTAATTACTCACCAACAATTAATTCACACCGAACTGCGACTGCAGCAAAGATAATAAAATCTGAAAAATAAAACAAGCATCATATAAAGGTTGTCCAAGTACAGTACTGTGACAGTTTTAGGCACCATATTGAATCATAGTATATCAGTAAAGTCAGGATATCAAAATTCCCAAAACTAGTGAACTAAATATAAGAGAAGAGGGCGGCCATTTTCACCAAAAGACTACTTTCACTGCTCAAAGTAAGGTGGCCCATAAGCTGCCATATCAATGATGGAAAAAAAACCAATTTCCAGTCGATGATATATTCATACCACATTCATACATGAATATATAAACTAATGATTTGTTGTTGTGAACCAAATGTATGGGGGGGGTGGGGGGTGGGGTGTACTCACCTTTTCAAGCAAAAGAAGGGTAGATAACTGGGACGTTATCAGTATATTGACCCTAGAGTTAATACACCTCAATAAAATATTCAGACTTTGTGAATAAATTACAGGAATATAAAGGTTCAAATATGAATCTTCTGCTTAACTCAATATGAACAAATTTGACAGATGATCAACTTCATGGGGCGCATCTTCATCATCGTAAAGGACTTCATAGACAGCAGAGGGCTCACCATCTCGTCCCCTCAGTACATCTAGCACTGTGCCAACAAACCAAGTGGATCATGAAGGAAAAAATACCATAAGATAAAAACATAGTAAGAAAAACTATACACTTGACAGTTGCCGCTGTAAATCCATAGTGGAAATAAATATATATTATAATAATGTATGATTTATATACAAGTAAACAGTACAAAAGATAATCTTTTCACAATGCTCACCTTTCTTCTCACTCACAATCCATTCATGTGTTAACCCTCTTCTCACAAATCTGACAGACCGTTGACGTGTAGATCTAGTGCTCTGTGAGCAACTGGGTCCTGATCTACCTGAGAAGTCTGACTAGTGTCATGGAGCCTTGCATAAGTCTGGCGATCTAAAATAATACAGATCACAATAAGGAATAGGATATTTTGAAGGGCTTGACCAATTGTATAAAATGTGGTTTCGAAGTAAGCAACATCCCCCTGAAAAAACATTTTTCCTTTTTATTCAAAAACAGTGGGGCCCCCCCCCCCCCCAAAAAAAAACCCACTCCCCAAAATCAACAAAAATGTTAACATCAACGTCTGTCCTGGTGTTTGTGGCGGTAGTGTTGTGAACCTACTTACCTGATGGCTGTTCAGATGTCTGGAGGCAGGTGGAGATAAACCAGCTGGAGGGAGGCAGGTGGATGGATGTATACCAGGAGGGAGGCCGGTGGATGACTGTCTACCAGGAGGGAGGCCGGTGGATGACTGTCCAACTGGAGGGAGGCCGGTGGGTTTCTGTGAGGACTGGATACCTGGATTGGAGATGACAATAAGGTTTAACAATATAACAAAAAGATCATCCACACTGAAGGATATGATAGAGACTGAAAAATATTTCCTTTTTTGGAAAACAATATTTATAATTATTTAGTGTGCAAATTGTATATGTACACATTGTAGTTTATTCAAAAAATATCACCTCATCGTTTGCAGAGGTGAAAGAAATATTATAATTTAGTTTCCCCAGTTTATTTTTAATTATGTTGTAAATTATCAAAACTACCTTGTACAAGGCTAGATGGCAACGCTAAACTCTGATGTGCAGGAGGGATGGTGGGTGCCCGGGAGGGCTGAGTTGCAGGCCTGGTGCCAGTGGTGGATCTCCTGGAGGGTCTGCGACGTCCACGGGTAGCAAGGATGGCAGGTGCTGGAGAAGGCTCTGTTCCAGCACATGTGTCAGGTTGGAACTGAAATTACCAAAAGTTGTATATATGTAATAAAATGCAAATATCATCCTTACTATAATCAGAAATATAAAGTTTAGTTACAACAAATTAGAGACAATTAACATCTTCAATGCATACCCAAACTCCAGGTTCTCTGATTCCAGGGCTCTTGCCATATCTTGGCAATGCGAGTTCCGGTAACAGACACTTGGAAACAGGCACAGCTCACTCAGTGAGCTTTGGCAACATCTTACTATCCCAAAGATCTTCATCTCTGTACACCCTTTCTACATACAGTTCGTGGGGGTTAATACGTCTGACAATAAAGTCCACCCACGGCACATCAGCGATATTAATCTGTCCTTGGCATTGGTAAAAAAAATGTAATTTTTTTTCAAACTCAGTTTCCCATCATTTACACACAAACAGAAGTTTGATTATTTTGTTGCCGCCTCCCTGAGTGTCAAGTTCTTGTTCTGGAGCATATTTTTGATTTCAATCAGGCCATTCTGTCCATCACTTGAAAATACTTTGCCATCAGGGCTGGCTGCTAGGAAATTATGGCTGGGGTGGATGATAAGTCCGCTTTTTTCAACAGTGACGTTCAATCCGTGCTCGGCTTGGTACATTGTGTATTCCTTTGTACTGACATCCTCCTGTTGAAGACCCCGCATGGTGTAGCGATTTCCTCGAAACGTGGTATGCAAGAAACGCTGAACTATAGGCTTAACTGGAATAGTGGACTTTCTCTTGACTACCTCCCCAAAGACTGATGAAGTGATCCGCTTTCGCCTTTCTTCCCTCCATACTGAATTAGTGCTTGCAGACTGAAGTTTGGAATGCTTTTCTATTTCTCCAATTCTTTCCGAGGAGACTGTGACCTCCCTAGAAACAATTTAACACAGGCTTTCTGAAGTTTGGCACTATCCACATCTGGCAGCACTTCCACAGCCTCTGTGCCATATTCAAGTGCTGATTTCTTACTGCTGGCTTGAGTGACTGACTTGGACTTTCGCTTCCTGGCTTTCAACCTTACTTCAACCTTAGCCTTGGACTTTCTGGAGCTCTCTAATTTCCTGGCTCTGGCTCTGTAAGAGTGCCTGTAACTCTTTGCCAGATCTTGGGAGACCACTCTGCACCAAAATTCTGCCGTATACCACCCCCATAGCAACGGGTGTGCCATGAACCGCGGTTGCACCGGTTGTACACCTTGCCGCCATCAAACCCTATTGTGATCGGCGGATCCGTGTTGATTAATAGCTGTAATGCAATTAAAGGCACAAATATATGTGCAATCTTACCAGTATTAAGCAGTCATTCCGCTGAAATCCCTCTAAAACCAGCGCTCGTATGAATTTGCAGACATGTTGCAGATAAACCGGAAGTGACAAGACCTACAAGTCGGTTAACATAGTTCAACATTTTCGTTCAAACCGAATATTTTTTTTAATTTGCATTACCAGAGACATATTGTTAACTCAATTTAGTTCATCCATACATAAATTTTTGTTATTAATTTTCATATTTTAACGAAGTTTCATACTCAATCCATCTGCGCGCGCATGAATATGTTGCTTGTCTTCCGGCTAGTCGGCTGTCACGTTGTTTAGCCAAATGCAATCCACACTATATCATACGACGACGCTGAAATACGGCTTCGTACTCGACAGAGTTGTAATCAACAGTAAGGTATTATCATGCTAATACTATGTATGCAATATCTTTTTCTGATTTTGAGTGGATTATCTGAAATCGGACTGTAAAATGTGTCACCTGTTTTCGAGCGTTTCACAAACATGGCGGCCTCCACGGACAAACACGTTTTGGGAATTTCACCATACTCGTCTGTACTGCCATATGTCACCAAAAACTCGACAAGTCTCCATAGCTAGGTGTCTGTACTGCATAACTGAGTTCAATATAATAGGGTGAAGTTATGTGAAAAATGTGTTCGTTGCAGTTCGAAACTGAACCAAAACACATAATTTTAACCAGTTTGGTAAGTGCTTTCACCAGGATGAATATAACAAGATACGTCATCCTTATATGTCATCATGTCCACATAGTTAAGATTTTGATTGCTACCCTTCTATTGTCAGGAAAAAATTCAATCTGTACAGACTAAATCTGACTTTACCTCCCTCTTAAAGAAACAACAAATATCCAGTGCTGCATTATATCTATTTATTAGGACAGGAGCGTCGCCAGAAAAACTGGGAAATAAACCCCTTTGAATACAAAGAGCTATTGTATAATACAACAGTATGATTGACAGTCGGTAAATCGGTATAATATCTAGTCCGCGTATAATAAGTATACAATAATAATTTGTCAGCGTTCTAATAATGTTAAACCAATAAACTAATTCAGATATATAACATACCTCTGGCTAACGTGGTGACACGTGGTCTGGATATTAATGGTCTCTGTCTAACGTAGGTCCCGTTGGTCCTTAGCCGTCTATACCGGGCTAGTGCGCCGCTCCCCCCAAACACTCCACTTTATACGCTCACAAACACGCCCCTATTCACGTTCAAACTCACATGCATGCACTTCACACTCTGACATACCTAGACGCCACATTACATAACTACCGGACGCACATGGACACTGTAAATAGAGACACAAGTAAACAGAGAATACTCCCTGTAACCAGTGACACACATAAATAAACATGACTTAATGCATGACAATACAAACGAAGATATAACTCGTTCTCGTTTCCCCCACTTTTTATATAACAAAGAAAAGTGTTGATTTAGGAAGCAATGGCAAGCCAATTATAGTCTGTTTCATACTTACCCCACAGGTAACTTACCTGTGTGAAAGTTACCTGTGTGAAATGTACATGTGTGACTTGTAGCTTTGTTGTATATCTTTATTTATTATCGATATATTAAAGATATATTTTTATACTTATACATATGTAGAGCGTTTAAACAGATATAGAATATAACAGCACTACATAAGAGTGTTCACAATCGAGTATTTCACTACTTATACATAATGATTACATTTCAATTATATTACCATTTTTAAACATACAACTGTCAATGCATATTAATTATATTAATTTATATTATACTGTTTAGGCCACCAAATAGAAGACAAGTTAACTTTAATGTTACATTTCAAAACATGTTAAGAAGTTAAATCCATCAATATAGACTGTTCATTACATTTACTAATCACACAATACAAATACATTAACAATATTTACATATTAAGAATAGTAAAGTTTAGTAATAGCAATCTCAAATTGGCCCCCCTCAAATCAAAATCATATCTCCATTTTAAAGTTCAAGTCCAACAGCCAAGAGGCACACAGTTTTGTAGTTATCTATCCCAAATGTAAGAGATGTGATGCTGCATTGGCGTACTCCATAAGATCCATCGTCTGGTTCTCAAGGCGCTCCTTCAGCTGGGTCTTTCGGCTGCTGATGTTTCGGTATCGTTTCTCGCGTGGTCTGTTGACATCTCCTGCATCTCGTTGTATCCTGTTGATCTCGTTTGCTGCCTGAATCTCCTGGAACACTCTGATGATGGCGCAGATGTTTGGGTGTGCATGGTGAACCTTCTTCTTCAACTTCACGTGCCAGGCCTCTAGGTGATTGGTGAGGCGGGGTCCTTCAGTGTTGTAATGGTTCCAGATATGACGATCTCCCTTGATCCACTGGGTTACGACGTAGTCTGTGAAAGGTGTTGTGTTCACGGGTAGGGCAGACCCTGCAGGTAGGGCGTAAGAATTGTACCTGCTGCCCCCAATTGCATGATCGTAAGAGGCGACTAAATTTGGGACCTTATCTCTTCTCTCCTTTCTAAATAACTTTCTTCTTCCTAATGTCTCCCTTGACAATGCCTCACTTTTGGCCATTTGTTGAGCGTTCGCCCCTGTGAGGAAGGCTTTGGGTTCTGTCCCCTGGCCGAGACATACCAAAGTCTTTAAAAATGGTAGTTTATACTCCTGCTTAACGCTCAGCAAATTAGGAGTGGGACGACTGGTTCGCCCGTTGTCAGTATAATGTGACCGGGTGGGGCGTCCTGCTGGGTGTCTTCGGCAGAATGTTTCAGTGAGGTAGCACTATAAAGTCGGCGTCAGTTTCGCGCTATCACAAGGAGACAAACAAGAACATATCGCAGCCTCCCAATATACACACACATACACTACACGCATGCATCTTGCACCCAGGGGAGGCCGTCCTTAGCTGTTAATAGGACGTTAAACAAAATCAAACAAACAAACAAAATCACGGGTAGGTCAGCATCCTCAAGTTCACCTAAAGCGTTGAACCACACATCGTCCACACTCTCCAGGGGCACCATGGGTAACACTGCGGCCAAGCGCACAAGTCGATTGATGTTGTCGTTCTCTCTGTAAAGTTGTTGAAGTCCGATCTGCTGGGCCTTCCTCCATATGCATAGCGTGAAGTGGAAAAAACAGCCCTTAATGGTCACTCTCAGGAAACGGGTGTACAACTGCTGGGTCTTAGTAGTAGTGAGTAGATGAGTGGGTACATCTTTCCGTCAATCAGTCCGTGGATGGTGTATATCTGATAGAAGAGCTTAGGGCATGTGAATAAAGTTATATCACAGTAAAGGTTGTCAGCATTTGCAAGGTCGAAGAGTTTGTCCGTATTAGCGAAGCTGATGATGCGCGAGTCATCTCCATCATCAAAAAGCAGGAACTGTTCCCCGGCAGTCGTCTTGGGTGTCTGCGTCCATCTGGCTCGGTAAAGTCTATAACGTGCACTGAATAGAAGGTCGGTAAACGCTTGAGAATCCCCTCGCTGGCATTATTCCATTCGTCGGTCCGCAGCTTGGTCACTTCCTCGTTGTAGATGCTCGGTATTGGCGTAATCTCTAATTTTGATCTGTTGTGTATGCTGTTAATTAAATGTTACAATAATAAAGATTATTTGATAACTATTTATATTAATATTTTTAAAATACTAGAAAATGAAATAACACATTTCATCTTATCAAATCAGCAGCACAAGGACTACAAAATGGATATATTTAATACTGAATATATATATTTATATATATGATTAATATTTAAATAATTTAAATTTCAACATTTGTCATTACAAATCTGATTTTTTTAAATATAACGTATTATTAAATAAATATGATAAAACACCACCATAGATAGAAGGGTTAACCACAGGTAGAAACACAGNCCCCCCCCCCCCCCCCCCCCCTTTAAAAAGTGGGGGAAACGAGAACAAGCCCCTACGACATAATTACCCTGTTTACAAAATGTCGTCCCGACATCCTTAATACATGATTTCTTTGTGCAAGAAATAAGAATACCAAGAATATATTTATTAACATCAAACAAGTTGATATAGATTAATTAGTACCTGCAAATAAAATTACATTACATTAATAAAATCATGTCGGTTAATGTTCCTGGAAAATCCCATTAACAAAAATGACTCATATTTTATTCAGACAAGTCCAATTTCACCTCTCAGGATGAGAAGTGTAAAAAAAGATTATCCCGATCTTAAATCTGAAATCAAAACCTTCCTAAAATTGCAGCTAAAATCAAACTGCTGAAAAATAGAAAATTGCATCATCTTATATACATTTTTAACATGAAACCCAGCCCTCTGTAACCACTTGACCCATTTGCCATTCCTCAAAACGGTTCGGAGGTTTACACACTATGCTAGAGCGCCTTGGGCTCTGATCCTTTACTACAGATTCGTTTCTTACAGGACTTGCCTGTGTCTCCTCAAACTGATCTGTTTCATCCATGTGTCTAGTCACTACTCGGTCATTATACCGAGTAGAGAAATTTTGAGAACCACTGTTCTCTGCACTGACATTGACATGTGAATTATCAGACACATTCCTAAGTACTCTGATACCTTGTCGAGTCCTCCTCAGTACATGATCAATTCTCATTTTTAAAATAGACAAAATCATGCCGCGTACCCCAACGAAGAGCTTTACTGTTAAATTGACCATTTTAATTTTTCAAAAAGGAAAGTGGATTTTTTTGTTTGGGGTTTAACATCCGCGCAACAGCCAGGGGACGGGTGCCTAGGTATACATCGCCAGAAAAAGAATGTAGAAAGGAGACAGAAAAGAGAGCAAAAACAATAGTCCAGTGTTGCAATGAAGGCAGCAGATCAATTTTTGTCTCTTATGTCCCCTTCGTAGAAAACATGGGAGAAAAATACCTATTCTGCAGGGGGCCCACATACACAGTCGTTGCCTTTTACGATGATACATTGGGATATAGCGGGCCTATTATTTTCCCGAGTTTAAAATGTCTATGAACGCATTCAAGATGAAAGTTTCGTGATAACGCTCGTTAATCTAATCGCCTTTGAACAACTTGAGCAAGGTTCCCGAAAAAACTAGTACCCGTATTCATGAAACCGTTGTCATGCTCAAGCATGGATTTGTGCTCAACCCTTTTTCCTTGTTCCAATTATAAGTTAATTGAAAATCTAATTTTGGTTACGATTTGGAATAGATTTAAAGATATTTGTAGCCGATTACTGTCTTCAGAGTTTACATTTGACTTTTTGATCGTTTGACATGATACAAGAAAAGTGGTTTCAGCTTAAAAAAAGGGGGAAAACATTCTAGAGCATGGGAACGATTTCTTGAGTACGGGCCTAAATATTTTCTTTCTTGTGTCGAGGGTCAAATCAACAACAAATCGTGTAGATATAGAAAAAGTGTATTATTCAAATAAATATGATGCAGCCACCTCAGTATACCGTATTTAATGTGACAATAACAAACTTCACTGTAATTATACAACTATTACCGAAAAAACGTTCTCGGTAATATTATATAATAACAAAAAGGTGTACATTTCACGTTATTTTTTACCAATGAAAGAATATGCATTGGCAATTTATACACACTATTAAAAGTAATACACAGTTTTTCTATACCGTTTAGGTTGATTTCAAATTAATTTTATTGTATTCAAAACACAATTGTATTAGGCACAGGCATTGCCTATAAAAGCCCTTTCAAGCGAAAATACACACATTTCATACATTCATATATATATATATAGAGAGAGAGAGAGTGAGAGTATTATAGAGAAGATGTAGTATATGTTCAAATTAATAGGAGAATACTAGAACCATTTAATTTAACATGTTCACAGAAAATAATAACTAGAATAATAGATTTTAACATTTCAATTACTATAGTCTATTTACTTCAATTAGTATTATAGCCTAGTGTTTGGTTGGAGGCACTTCAAAGACACTGTCACTATACACAGTACCAGCCTTCTCAATTACACCAGAGTTATTGTTATAAAATAGCAAATACAAACACATTGTAAGATAATTTTTAGTATAGTTTAAGCTAAAATCTTCCAGATTTTTCAATATACTCCAGAACACATGAGAGAATAAATGTATTTGATTCACTGCTAAGGTTCATATCACCCTTAGTGAAAGTAATATAATCTAAGATGATGTTATCAATTTCGTTATAATTAGAAAACGCATAGAATAGAACTTGTCTTTCATCTATATATTTGGGGCAATTGAGGAAGAAGTGATTTGCATCTTCAATAATATAACCACAGTCACACTTAAGGTTATATGTAAGATGATCATTATATAAATCTGATTTTGATTAGCTGACTTTATTCCGTAGTTGACATAATGTTATACTCAACTTCCTGGAGCCACCGTATTTAAAAATATCTGTACAGTTAGATGGTTGTAAAAGGGGTGTTCTTTCCTTGAATAATTCCAGTTTTAACTGGCTCAATGAAGTGAGTTTTGGAAAAATACAGTCTGGCCTATTCCATAGAGACATCATTCTAGATTTTTTTTATATACCAATTGGTTCTACACAAGGGAACAATTAAGTTTCTATGATGTCTAAGGCTAGGATTAATATCAATTTTAAAATATGGTAAAATACAATCATAACGATGGTCAGGACAGTCATGCTGCAGTATCTTGAAAAATAACATACATTGATTATCACGTCTTATTTTTAGGTTATCTACACCAACCTCCTTATTCCACACAGCACAGGCATATTCTAGTGTTGGTATTATAAAAGATTTATAAAAAAATTCAAGAGATTTTTTTATCTAGCTTGTTTGAGCATTCGCATTATTTGCAGTTTTGTTCAGCTTTTTCCATATATATACATGTAATTAACTTGACCTTACCATGATCCACGCCTATTAAAAAGCAATCCAAGATGTTTATGATTTTTTGACATTTATAACAACACTATTTGAGAATACCAAATCTGGATGAGATGTCATTAGACATTAATAATGATTCAGTTTTACTTGGATTAAATGAAATTCCCCATTTATCAGCCCAGAGAGAATTCTCCTTAAATTCTCATTAAGAAAATTTGCAGCATGTCTGCCATTACCATCTATCAAAACGTAAAGAGAAGTGTCATCAGCAAAACGTTTGACATGGAATAGAGTTCATCTTCTAGGTCATTAATAAATATTAAAAATAAATAAGGCCCGAGAACCGAGCCTTGGGGTACACCAGCTTTTAATGTTTGTAAATTTGATTAATACCCTTTGTTGTTTATCAGTAAGATAGCAATGAATCCAGTTCAAAACGTCGTCACAAAATCCATATTTCTTCAATTTGTAAATCAATCCACTGTGCCAAACTGTGTAAAAAAAGCTTTGCTAATGTCACAAAATACTATCCTTGCCTCTTTTCCTTGATCAAGTTATTTTGAAGCTTCATCAGATAGAAAATTAAAGACATGTTTAAAAACTAAAAAGAAGTTTACTAACTAATGATGTGACAGAGATTGTTCTAAAGTTACTGGGGTCACCTCTCCCTCCCTTGCCCTTATATATTGGGGTAAAATTAGCAAACTTCCAATTATTAGGTATGCAACCAGCGGATATGGATTTGTTAAAAAATAACAGCACGGGCTTCACAAGAGAGTCAGCAATACCTTTCATAAAATAAGGGGGAAGTGCATCTGGACCAGCATTTTTTTTACATTAATAAGTTGAAGATGATCATGAACATCCTGTTCAATGAAACTAATGGAAGATATTTTTTCTTTGGAGATAGGACAATAGGGAGGAATGTCAAAGTCAGTTTTGTCAGAAGTAGAGACAGGTGAAATATGAGTTAAAAAATTCTGCTTTATCCACAGGATGCGATTTAAGTTCACCATTTATTACAAGAGGAGCATCATTGTTTGATTTATTGTTAATGTTCATAATAGACTTTGCAATCCGCCACCACTTATATTGAAACTAATTGGAATGTGATCACTACAAATTGGAGCATGGACAGAGAGATATTTTACTATATCAGTATTGTTAATCATAATAATGACAAGAGATGTATAAGAGGTAGGAGTAGTTCTTAGGTTGATTGGCTGGTTGTATAGGGTTTAACGTTCTATCAATACCTAGGGCCATTTCAGGAGGTTCCTCCATTTGTGTTGTGTATATGTATATGTGCTGACCCTGCAGGTAGGGCGTAAGAATTGTACCTGCTGCCCCCAATTGCATGATCGTAAGAGGCGACTAAATTTGGGACCTTATCTCTTCTCTCCTTTCTAAATAACTTTCTTCTTCCTAATGTCTCCCTTGACAATGCCTCACTTTTGGCCATTTGTTGAGCGTTCGCCCCTGTGAGGAAGGCTTTGGGTTCTGTCCCCTGGCCGAGACATACCAAAGTCTTTAAAAATGGTAGTTTCTACTCCTGCTTAACGCTCAGCAAATTAGGAGTGGGACGACTGGTTCGCCCGTTGTCAGTATAATGTGACCGGGTGGGGCGTCCTGCTGGGTGTCTTCGGCAGTATGTTTCAGTGAGTTAGCACTATAAAGTCGGCATCAGTTCCGCGCTATCACAAGGAGACAAACACGAACATATCGCAGCCTCCCAAAATACACACACATACACTACACGCATGCATCTTGCACACAGGGGAGGCCGTCCTTAAATGACCTTAGCTGTTAATAGGACGTTAAACAAAATCAAACAAACAAACAAACAAACAAAGTACATGTGCTGGTGGCGGGATGTGTTGGTGTATTTACCTCCTTTTTGAATTGCGGATATGATACCGACTTTATAGTGCTACCTCACTGAAATACCGAAGGCACCAAGCACAGTATTCCGTACCGTTCTGAAAAGAGTTATTTGATTTCTGAAAGCATCATGCATATTTCTCCAAAATACATGCAAGAATTGTTGATGTGTGTCGGGAATACGCATTTGCAACCTGGATAAGTCGTGTCCACTTAGAACAATGCACAACGTTAAGTTATCCGAACAGTTTTAGGCCAAGGAAAAGGATTCGTCATCATCTAACGGATAAACGTTCCTGTCTTACACGTGTTATTTCATTTGGATGTACCAATAATACACTGATCAAATAAGATCATCATATTAGAACTATAACCGGAACCTAGATATATTTTTTCATTACATCTTCGCATTAACGTATTTGTTTCATTTTTTCATAAACTTGTGTGTTTATTTGTTATATTTGTCAAAGGTTGCGTAATATTCCAAAAACGACGTAAACCTAAAGAAGACAGACACTGGTAGCAAAACATTGTAAACAACGCTCGATAATTCTGTAGGAAAATTGTAATGTTCCAGTATCCGTGTAATCGAAAATTCAGATTTCAGAAAGCTATCGTTTAACCAGAAGATACAGTTACATATCATGATAAATATCAGAGCTGATTCAAGCAAATGGATGGTTGATTGAGGTTCAGATTTCTTAAATCGGCTAGCGTGCAGAAGAAAAACAACTTGAAGATAGTCTTGGAATATACTTAAGATGCTGGTGGACATAAACCAATTATCGAACGACACGTCACCACCTATCCCTTCACAGATGTGCATCATAAACAAACCGAATGCGGACAGCAAATACACGTATTCTGAAGGTTTTAAATCTTCTGGTGAAGTATCGGGAGTGCAGTAGCTAACCAAACAGTAGAAACCAATAAAGATCGCAAGCACCATTACAACTTTTAGCGCTAGTTCATATATTTCAGCGACGTTTCTCATATAGTCTATGTCTCCTATATTCATTGCCATGACAACATAGCAAACAATAAGACCAAGTCCAGCTGTTATGCTAAACACTAGTGTTATCAACTGACATGCCGTTTGCTTCCCTTCATTTCCAGAACGGCGATGTTCAGTCGCTGTGAAAGTTGGTAAGAGAGGTGACCGCTCTGTGTGCTCTATATTGTCTATTTCCATGTACGACGTTTCCTCGTCAAGAAGCTGCACTTTTTTCGTAGGCGACCATATTTCCAGAAGTATTGTACAAGACAAAAGACAAAATTCTGTAAAATTTGGTTTGAGAATTGGCTTTGATTTTTCTAGTAAAACAGAAAAAGTGCTGTTGTTTTCCAAGCAGTTGGCGATATCGGAGTCCGGGAACGTATACATAATGTACAGCGTGATTTCACCGATTAGTGTCCCATACACAAACATGCATACATTCGCAACTAACAGCAAAGACATTGCATAATTAACTAAATGAGTCTGTTTCAGTTCATATGGCGAAAAGTGCGTAATGATAACCATTTGTGAAAATAGGCATAGGATCAATGTGATATTAAAATAAAGTAATATGTACCAAATGTTTCCAACAGCTAAGTTTTCGGAACACTCAATCTGCTTGATGATGAAGAAACCACAATAGAATACCGACGCAAAGCCAAACAGCCACAGGAATACCACCTGAAGTTTCGGGGTACTTGCGTTCCGGCTTGCAGCGACAATATACTGAAGACCATGTTTATGCACCAAGTATCCTTGAACACAGAAGCCAATCACTGCGAAGATCATAAGTAAGGACAGAAGAATCAGAACAAATCCAATACGAATTTCAGAATGTGTTGGTATCTTTTTGCTTGCGGTGAACACTATGACTATTGAAAGGACGACCAGGAACAGAACTCGGGACGATATAATACAGTCATAATACCCGGATCCATTCTGCCGTCTACGGTAATTTCCAGCCGTGAATGGCAGAAGCAGTATGGACGTCAACAGCTTGCCACACCAGGAATCCATCGGAGAAAATCTAAAACAAAACAATAACAGATAAATCAATCAATCCATCAATGAAAAGATATTAATGTTAACCATATCATGTGTTAACATCTTAGCTGTGGCCTGTCTGTTTTGAATCAAGTTTTGCTATCGCTATTTCTGAAAGTTTATAACGGTGTTTTTTTTCAAATTGCATATGAAAAATCCCCTTGGTCATTTGTGTGAATGTTTTGTTTTAGGACTAATTGGAAATAACAAGGCAGCCATCTTGCATTCTGAGAGTTCAAGATTGTTTTTGCTATTTTCAAACCATGAAGTCCCTGCAGGTAGGGCGCGTAAGAATTGTATCTACTGCCCCCATTGCATGATCGTAAGAGGCGACTAAATTTGGAAAAAAATAAGTATACAAATGAATATGACCACATTCGGATAAAACGGCTTGATATAACGCTAAAAGCACGGTATACTCTATTTTGTTTAACGATAAGGTCATACATGTATAGGGACGTGTCTCCATGTGTCTTGTGTACATGTGCTTATGTATAGTTATGTTTAAACATCTTTAATACATCCGTTAACGAAAAACACATTTGTCATTGCACAAAAAAGGTGATGTATCAAATCTCATTCCTCTCAGAAACGGATTGTATGTGCACGACAAGTCTGTTTTTGAAACCATAATTTGATATGACCACATCTAGATAAAGTAACTTGACAACGCCCTAAACCTCTCTTTGTATCCGGTTGTATGGTTAATGAGGCAAAGGAAATGTATACTGAACAAAAAAAGAAACGCACAAAATCTGTAAGGAAATAATGGAATATTTGATCAGGTATCACATCAAGAACGATCTCCCTTCTCAACAATCTATCCTAAAATCAGCCAAGCGCGACGATGTCATTGTGTGACTTTGTGAGCTTCTTTAGCCCAAATTACGCGGCTTGATCAAGCCAAGCATTTTCATACAAATAATCTCAACGGATACTCTAAGTTTAGCCACATTAATTTTCAACGTTGGCATTTTGATTTCGCCATTGACTGAGATGCCACACTTAACGCAAATTCAGAGGGGTAGAGCAATTGCGATGTGGATGGATGGCCATAGCCAAACTGCTGTCGCACGGCAGCTTGTTGGCCCGTGTACAATTAACCGTCTCTGTACACGTTTCCGTGCTACTGTGTTAGTTTCCGATCGTCCCAGAAGCGGTCGTCCGCGTGTAATGACCGCACGACAAGACAGGGCGATTAAATTGTCGCACTTGCGCAACAGATTCAATACCTTAGGTTCTCATGGCAGACCCATTAGTCCTCAAAGTGGCAGAAACCGCTTGCATGCCGAGAGAATCATTGCGCGCCGACCTTATGTCGGGCCACCTCTGACACCACGGAGGCGGCAAGTGCGTCTTGACTGGATGCGCAGACATGGCCGGAATAGGTTTGGGATGCGTCAATGGAGGCGTGTGATGTTCACCGACGAGTCTAGATACTGTCTGTATCGCTCAGACGGAAGAAAAAAGGTATATCGCAGACTGATCCTGCAGGTAGGCCGTAAGAATTGTACCTGCTGCCCCCAATTGCATGATCGTAAGAGGCGACTAAATTTGGGACCTTATCTCTTCTCTCCTTTCTAAATAACTTTTTTCTTCCTAATGCCTCCATTGACAATGCCTCACTTTTGGCCATTTCGCCCCTGTGAGGAAGGCTTTGGGTTCTGTCCCCTGGCCGAGACATACCAAAGTCTTTAAAAATGGTAGTTTCTACTCCTGCTTAACGCTCAGCAAATTCAGAGTGGGACGACTGGTTCACCCGTTGTCAGTATAATGTGACCGGGTGGGGCGTCCTGCTGGGTGTATTCGGCAGTATGTTTCAGTGAAGTAGCACTATAAAGTCGGCATCAGTTCCGCGCTATCACAAGGAGACAAACCCGAACATATCGCAGCCTCCCAAAATACACACACATACATTACACGCATGCATCTTGCACACAGGGGAGGTCCTGGATCAAAACCTCATTGCCGTTCGATACAGAGACCATCCAACCACATGTCCTTCCACTTCTCAGACGTTATAACCTAATTACCTGTTCAGTATATTAAAAAGGCTACCATTTTTATGACAAAACAGGTAGTAGTCATGTATATAATAACATGGGTTTTCCATCTTTTATTTACTTCCTCTTTCTGAATTTATGTCCTTACTATTGTGTATACAGTAAAAGCCAAGTCTTACTGTGACACCTGATTATGTGGAAGAACATGGTATCTTATTGTGCCAACTTGACTTCCGCCTTTATGTATTATTAATAAGTTTGTATATGATATATATATTGCATTGTTCTGCATCTAAATGAAGCTCTTGTACTTCTTATACTAATAAAAATTACTGAAAATACAAAAACCTTTTAAACAACCTTTTTAATAAACTCGTGTCTAATCAGCTGAAATTAAATGAACAAATCATATCTCAACTAATCGTTTTTTTGAAGTATTATGTAAATAATCGGTGTATCATAAAAACGCTCATCTGGCCCTTTGAAGGCCGATCGGCATGGCTAATATTGGGCAGCAGTTACGTATGTAGCATACACGTTTGCTCATCATCAAAATTTTGTTTTACAAAATATTCCCAAAGGGATTAAGATGTAGCATTACTTTCTGAGACAACACATACACAGGTATTTGGTTTGTTTGTGTTTGACGACCTATTAACAGATATGGTAATTTAAGGACGTGCCAGGTTTCGGTGGTGAAGGAAAGCCGGAATTTCTTCGACCTACGGCCAGTACCCGGCGACTGCCCCATGAAGGTCAAGAACCTGCGACCCAGTCATGGAGGGCTAATGGTAGCAGAATGCAAGACGCCTTAACAGCTTGGTCACCGCGGCCCATCAGAGGAGAGGGAGGATTACGAGGGGAATAACAAGACAAAATAAAAATAAAAAACGATCGGAAGAAAAAGTGAAATACGTTTGCTAATTTTAAAAATAATAAGTTATTAGCAGGTTAAAACATCATCATTCCAGACGCAGACAGCATAATACATTTGAACTCTTACCTGAAGTTAAGAGTGAACGTCTTTGTATATCACAAGTGTCGGCGATTGTTTCCAGTCATATCAACAATACACAGCCTAACATTCATACGGATGAAAAGAAGCTTTATATTTTTCATATGTTCATGTATATATCAGACTGTACAAAGATAAGAGGTTGTTCATACATTTTCATACATGTCCTGGCCTAAATTCGCTTTCGTGTTGTTTATGTTAGCTAGGTTGATGATATTGCATCAGTTACATGCAGGGATGTAGGGCTACCAACTATGTTCAAAAAATGACTTTACCTAAACCCAAGGTCTCAGAGGACCAGGTTCATATTTGGTTAGTTGCATGCAGGAACGAAGGGCTGCAAAGTTTATTAAAATAAATGAACTTCACCTTTATTTAAGGTCACAGGAGTAAAATACGTTAATTTTTATTCTAACTTCTTCTGAAAAATGAAATAATGATTTTTTTTATAGTTTTTGAATGGGTTCCCGGACATGGGAATACCAGTAATGATTGACTTTAAATTCATTTTACTGATATTAAACCATTTAAAACAAAATTCATATGATCGCTAATTGGAATCAGTGCTTTAACAACGAATAAAACTCTATTAAACCTGAAATCGGTGAATGACGTCCTAGCTACAGAGAGAGGCGCCGATACGAGGTTGTCCTTACCCGTTTCCGGATGTGTCTTTCATACATTGATCATTGTTATTTATTGAAAACGTGAAGCCCAGTCTCAATACATTGCGTGTCAAGATACATTTTCAGTAAAACACTTATTATAAGATTGCGTCGACATTCGGTCAAATTCACAAATATATCTTAAATATCTTTCCGAAAGAAAAATGTCTCGACATGTTTTAAACTTTTTGAAAGCTCTTTTATCAAAATAATAGTCAACATAGCGCGATTTTCGATAAAATCTCCACGATTTATGGTTTTGTTTTTGCATATATTTTTGTAGAATATTTGTTAATGGCCTCTCCTGTGTTGATGGGCCTTTAAGCATGTAATGATAATGATGATAATTTATCTACTTCCTCCTTCTGAATAAATACCCTTAATACTTGTGTATATATTAAAGTCCAGTCTTCCGTGAAACATGATTTTGTCGAGTGACTTTAATTTAAAATTTTCTGAATGTAAATAAAACTCTTGTAATTTGAATACAAATATTTTGTTTAAAAATATTATGACAATAATTTAGCTTGCTCAATTTCAGATGACCTCGCTATTGGTTAGTAGTTAGCAGACAAGTTTATAGATAAATAATTGTACACAGTTATTTCTAAAAGGGTTTAGACTTAGCATTACTTTGTTAGACAACATAGATACACAGAGCACATAACGAGGGGAACAACAAGACAACGAAAAACGTAAACAGAGGTAAAATGTTCTACGATTCCTAATTTTAGAAAAAGATTGACAGGTTAAAAAATCAGCATCATTGGCGATGCAGACAACGTATCAAATTGAACATTTACCTGTAATTAAATGTGAACGTCTTGGTATGTTGTCGCCGATTGTCCTCAGTCATATCAGTAATACACAGCCTACCACACTGGCACAACGCGGAAGAACAAACAATGTTTTTTAGCTTATTATGGTGAAACAGATACCTGAGGCGTATATACGGTTGATGACCAACCGCGGAAAACAAGTATTCATGCGGAAGCAAAGAAGCATAATATTTTAATATGTACATGTACCATGCATCTTAGACTGTACAATGATAGGAGGTTGTTCATACTTTTAAATATATTTTGTGTGTGGCAATTTGTAACTTTAGTTCGCTGTTCCGGCCTCAAACTCACTTTCAAGTTGGCAAATACACCAACATATCCTCTCTCCGGGACACAAACACGCATTCGCAACATACATGGAGGCACGTCCATAAATGACCTTGGCTGTTAATAGGACGATGACCAAAATTTAACAAAAACCGAAAAATTGTTTTCTATTTTTAACTAGGTTGATGATATTGCGTCAGTAGCATGCAAGGATGAAGTGCTAATCAGCCTGCTCAATTTCAGCTCACCTCGCCCTGGGAGGACCGACCGGCCCAGTTATTATTTGTAAGTAGTTAGTAGACAAGTTGACTGATAATTTTTTTTAGAGTTATTTCTTAAAGGGCTTAGATTTAGCATTATTTTGTTAGACAACACAGATACACAGACAAAATAACGAAGGGAACAAGACAACGAAAAAAAGTGAACAGAAGTAAAATATTTTTGACACGTTAAAATCAGCATCATTGGCGATGCAGACAGCATAATATATTTGAACACTTACCTGTAGTTAAGTGTGAAGGTGTTGCTATATTACAAGTGTCGGCGATTGTCCCCAGTCATATCAGTAATACACAGCCTAACACAATGGCACACCGCGGAAGAACAAACAATGTTTTGTAAATCAGTATTGCGAAACAGATACCCGAGACGTGTATACGGTTGATGACCAACCGCGGAAAACAAGTATCCATACGGAAGAAAAAAAGCATAATATTTTAATATGTACATGTACCATGTATCTTAGATTGTACAATGATAGGAGGTTGTTCATACTTTTAAATATATTTTGTGTGTGGCAATTTGTAACTTTAGTTCGCTGTTCCGGCCTCAAACTCACTTTCAAGTTGGCAAATACACCAACATACATGGAGGCACGTCCATAAAAGACCTTGGTTGTTAATAGGACGTTGAACAAAATCTAACAAAAACCAAATTGTTTTCTTTATTATTTTAAACTAGGTTGATGATATTGCATAAGTAGCATGCAAGGATGAAGTGCTACTCAGCCTGCTCAATTTCAGCTCACCTCGCCATGGGAAGACCGACCGGCACAGCTTTTATTGGTTAGTAGTTAGTAGACAAGTTGACTGATACAAATTTTACAGTTATTTCTGAAAGGGCTTAGATTTAGCATTATTTTGTTGGACAACACAGATACACAGAGCAAATAACGAAGGGAACAAGACAACGAAAAAAGTGAACAGAAGTTAAGTATTTTTGACACGTTAAAATCAGCATCACTGGCGATGCAGACAGCATAATATATTTGAACACTTAACTGTAGTTAAGTGTGAACGTGTTGGTATATTACAAGTGTCGGCGATTGTCCCCAGTCATATCAGCAATACACAGCCTAACACACTGGCACAACACGGAAGAACAAACAAGTTTTGTAGCTCAGTTTTGCGAAACAGATACCTGAGGCGTTTTTACGGTTGATTAACCGCGGAAAACAAGTATTCATACGGAAGCAAAGAAGCATTATATTTTAATATGTACATGTACCATGCAGCTTAGACTGTACAATGATGGGAGGTTGTTCATACTTTTAAATATTTTTTGTGTGTGGCAATAAATTATCAAATTCAATGGAAGAATATGTATCTTTAGTTCGCTGGGCCAGCCTAAAACTCACTTTCAAGTTGCCAAATACACCAACATATCCTGTCTTCTTGACACAAACACGCATCCACATCATTCATGGAGGCACGTCCATAAATAACCTTGGGTCTTAATAGGACGTTGAACAAAATCTTACCAAAAGTAAATTGTTTTCTTTATTATTTTAAACTAGGTTGATGATATTGCGTCATTAGCATGCAATGATGAAGTGCTTCAAAGTTTTTCAAAACAAGTAGTTGTATGCTTGGTTTAGGGGTCTGTTCTGTTCATATGAATAGGATTCATCCATGAATAGGCCTACTGTATACCACTGAATGATCGTATGGAGCGATGTTTGTGGGACCCCTGCAGAATCAGGGCTGGTTTCTTCCTCGTCTTCTGTTTAGATAAGCAAATCAAAGACCTGCTGTACGATGGCCAGCAGCAGTAATAAAGAGTTTACCATATTTAGTAGGTACATGTCATGGCAACTGCTTCAGAAAACAGCACTTGCCAGGTTAAAATGTCCGCTTAACTAGAGCGGTTGTTTTGTTACGCATCTAAGTGGCCCATATCAGCCATTTCGCCAAACGTTGACACAATTAACATTCTGCAATGATAACGGGTGATTTTAACACAGTACATGTGAGCTCTATTCATTTACAGGGATACATGGCTTCATCTTGATCGTTATAAGAAGGTGTGCTATACAACCTCGTCCTGCTTGGTCTCATTGGATTGGTATCAGTCTTTTTGGTTTGGTCTGGCATGGTCTCTGGAGTCGGACCGAAGGCTATTTTTTTATTTAATTAGTAGTTGATGTCTTATAAATCCTTATATGACTCTATATGTAGCCGTTTGCTGAATCGATTATCTAAAGAACTCAAATACAGTGTGTAGATCATTTTGAGTGATAAGGAAATATGAACTGAAAGTACGGTGGGTTATTATTATTTTTTTTGGGGGGGGGGGTAACATCCTTAGCTTAGATCTTCGTAAGACGGGGTCTAGATACAACATCGAAAAAGTGAGAGAGAAATATCTAGATCATACCAACATCAGATCAATTTTCAATGTCCAATGTCGTCCAAGCATAAGACACTAAACACGAAACCCTAGATTCTGCATTGAACACAACTAGTCGCCTCTTAATTACGATATACAGAGGGATACAGCGGGCCTATTTTTTTCCAAAACCAGCAAGGGTCCCATTGGAGTGTAAGGAGTGAAACAGCCAACGTTGTAAAAGAGCAAAAATGCACATTTGATGATACTTTTTTATCACACACCTTTTATCACTATGACAAATAGTAAAGAGAACAGTAAAATTAACATATTGTTGTTACAATTTGTATCAACGTAGCTGCAACTGAAGTTAAGGATAACAGATAGTGGTACAGCAAATCCTATACAAAATATGATTTTCCCAATAATAATAATAATTATGATATAAAACATTTGATATAGTTAACATAAGCCACTCTAAAACGCTTTACAGTACAAAGAGTATACAATTAGCATATACATTAATCAATACAATTTTTGGGGAAATCGCAGGAGCTGCCTTATCAGGCGCTAACTACTAGCCCTTTGTCACCTGGCTAATATCTCCCTATGTGTGTATGCCTGCGTATGTGCTCGAGATGTATTGTGATGGTTTGTAGTCGGACCGTGCTTCAAACGGTATCTTTTATAGTGCCACCTCACTTGAATGCTTCAACACAAATACCGCAACATACACCCCAGACCATTTTATACTCCCCTGGGTTGTTGGATTTGTGTGGGCAGGAGAAAAACACTTTCTCTGATATTCCATTCGTACGACGACTTCGAAGATCAAACCCGGTCGCCTGCGTGAAAGGGCGATGTGTTAATCATGTAACGTGTAGGGGTGTCCTTACAACCCTGGGTCCGTCCTTAGTATATACTTGGGATGTACTGTACTTTAAACTATACCGGCGCACTGGCTTGGTCAACGCCGTCGATGAAAAAGAAATAATTTCTTTATGATACAACAACAATAACAATATCTAATTTATACTGAATCAATATTATGTGCACTATGATTGTTAATTGCAAGGTAAATATATATAGAACAATAACTAACAACTCATGCTCACTACCTGTCAGCGAATAGGCAAACACACTCGCCCCTGATTCTATCACTCGATTTCACACAGTGCAACAGTGTACACCTGCGCAGTTGTCAACACAGCGCAACGGCACTTATACAGTGCGCAGAGTAACGGCTCCAACCTTAGCAGTTGTCTGTTCCGCGCAAAGGCACTTATGCAGTGCCAAACACCTACACTTACTCAGTGTTCTATGTAATACTGGGAGAACAAATAGCTACCCAGAGCCTTGTCCAGGCTCTGTTGTCAGTTGTTCCGTTGCATCTTTATTCCGGGTGTCCCTACTATCCTAATTCATGATTTTAGTATTACCTTTTATCTTCGTCGTGTAAAACTCCCAACTTCAGGTGAATAGTCGAAGACCGTCGATCAAAAGCCTAGCTTACTAGTCTGTCGCCGTTTGTATACCAATGGACTATACTATCTCAGTGTAAATCAGGTTATTCCATTTCCCTTACTTCTAAGTCACGAGTATGTTTGACTATAATGTCCCATCTATATACAAGTAACAAACACGCTAACTACAGTGATCTATACTTTAATTGAGGCACACGAAGGGGAAATTAACATGAATCAAAACATCGTTACAATCACTCAACTAATCCGCCCTATATGATCAAAGGGAGATCACTCATGTAACAGATCCATTTTGCATTGAAAATAATGTTTTGACAGACCCTTAACTTTTCTCCTGTAATTGATTTCTATATATCAAATAGACGAGGACAAATAACTGCATCTTGTCTTATTTCCAGAGTAGCGAAGCTCAGGATATCAATTAGTCATATCTATATATGGTATCCAATGAAATTGTTGTATACTAGAAATTATCCAATAAAAGTTTACATAGTGGCATGAGTGACCTATGAAATACATTTACCCCTAGAACTATTATAGGCTGTTACATTTCTAAGAAACGTTTTCTGTTTTGTCTGCTCTTAATTCTCCATACTAGCATATCATGTTTCAAGTAACTCAACAATAACAGTTCATCTAAAACATGTCCTTAAAGCAGGGAGAAATGAATTTACGAATTCGCTTGTTTGCATGGACTTCTTTTACATTTAAATACATTTGTAATGATCTAATATATATTATCCCATACATATCTTTACATGTCTCTTTTACAATTAAACATACCAAATTGTAGGAGTTGGGCATCTCTTATAATTAAAGATGTTTAAACATAATCTAAAAATACATTAAGATTTATCTAATTCTTCAGCAACGCGCCTTTAGGTATTAAAGTTAGGTTGGCTTGTCATGTGAAGATGCAAGCAATCATGGATCCGTAATTATTCCTTCATAGGAGGTGTTGTTCACACGTAACACATTTCAATAACAAAGAATAATATGTATCATTACATTAAACTATTTAGGGTCCATGATTACTCTATTTTCAGACAGCGACATGTTTTTGTTTTGTTATTAGAGCTAGTCAATGTAAACAGGCTTTTAATTAAAGGATTTCGGCCAAGATGTTTTACTTTTTGTAAAAATAAGCGAACTTGTCATTACAATTTAATTAATAACGAATCATCGTTCAACGAGCGTTCAGAAGTGTCCCGTTACCTAGATATAGGCAACCAAAGGTGACCGCTCCTTACTGGTGAGAATTTTAATGAGCTAACCGGTCACGTGGTACTTGTGACGTCACAATGGCGGATTTGGGTCACTGGTTTATATAACAGTAGCTTTGGTTCAGGAGCTACACCTCCTATTGATTCCTGATTTAGTTTCGATGAACACGTCTGACAGTGTGATTCTTGCCGTGAACTACATACTTAATATAATTCACTATACATTTAAGCCGAAGAACGGACGAAGACAAATAACTATTGACGTAAAAATTGACATTGGTTGACGATTCTGATATGGCAGGGACGTAAATAAGATAAACATACAGAACAAGCGGTTCAAAGAATAAAACTTCCATATATTACTTGATTTAATACAAAATATTTTTTTTTTACATAATAGCAAGTTTAATAATGTTGCGACCTTTTTAAAGTCATAATCTACTGTAATTATAATTTTCTGAAATCTGCTGACAAATAGCTTGTATTCCTCCTTCTTAATACCCCGTGTACCGTTACATATCAACACATCAACGTCTAAAAGTGATAGTTTTACCAAATAACTTTTGCATCTCAGATTGATGTAGTATTAGAACACGTAGAAATGGAACACATACACTTTCATTCAATTTGGTTTCGTCATAATATCAAACTTAGATCACACTGACAAGTTAACACACGGGGTAGTATATTTTAATTGTTTACCAATTTATTGCTGGTGTCAATCAAACTCACTTTCACGAACAAATATAAATAGCATGACAGTTTAAAATGTTTGTTTCATTGAAATATTGCTTTAGATGTCGGCTGAAATCGGGATACGAAAATGAAAATGGCCCTTCCCCACTTCAGGTATTTATTTATTTCACTTAAAATCACTAACATGCATGTCTGTTTGTGTGGGTTAGGAACTATTTTCCCCTCTCTAACGATGAAATATATGGAAGAGTGTACCGTTCTGAGATGCTATTTTCCTATTCCGTTCAAAAAGGATTAAAATACTGTAAGTTATATAAAAAGGATTAAAATACTATAAGTTTTATAACATCTTAACACATAATCAAACAGCTTTCCACTCGTCACTCAGTTGTGGCTTGAAGTAATTACCCAAACCGCAGCCTTTAACAAATATTGCGCTATATTCTGTTCAATTTTTCTTCAGAAAAGAAACAGGTTCCTAAATATCCACTCATCGCTAGCTTCAAATTATACGTGAAATTCTAACTCGAAAAAAAAAAGAATTCTGCCTCGCTCTAGTTGGTGATATTCAATTCAACTATGCTTCATAACATTGGTTTTGTGTGGGGGGTTTTAACACTATTTGTAATCAGGAACTGGATTAGTTTGGATTTATTGACGCTCTCAGTTGACACGTATATGATAACATTGGTTCTGTGTGGGTTTTTTTAACACTGTTTGTAATCAGGAACTGGATTTGTTTGGATTTATTGGCGCTCTCAGTTGACACGTATATGATAACATTGGTTTTGTGTGGGGGGTTTTAACACTATTTGTAATCAGGAACTAGATTGGTTTGGATTTATTGACGCTCTCAGTTGACACTGACGCTCTCAGTTGACACGTATACAAATGTATGATAACATTGGAAACTTAATTCTAAAAAAGGTGTGAAACAACTCATCGGGAAATCTTGGATCCACCCCTGAAGATATATATTTTTGTTAAAAAAACCTATTCAATAAATGTTCTTGTTGATATTTTGAAATTTTCCGTCATATCAGTTTTCGGTCCAGGTTACTAGCCTAAGGTTAAACGCATGTAAAAAACGATTTAATTCTGTTGAAATTGCCTGTAGTCCTTCCAACAACATTTTTCCTTTCAACATTGAGGACAAAAAGAAACGCGCCGGTACACCAATCTACATGTGTTAGTTGGAGGATCGGTTATGCCATGACATTAACAGGTAATACCTCGGGGTAATTGATTTACCTTCGAATTCACAGGTAGGTATTGTAAATGACCTTTGGCTATGATATAAACTGGTAAGAACTACAAAAAATGAACATGCCTTTTTTCATGTATATCATTATTATGTGTATTAGTGTAATCTCAGCTAGAAGTTACTATATTACGATATTGTTGATGCTGGCCCGGAATTAGATTTCAGTGATTCAAGCTTGAATGTTTAACCTCTCTTTCAGATAGGAACATTATTGTCGGGTGTTTTTTTTGTCTATTGATGATTTTACCCATGCAGCATGTTTTGGTTGATGTCATTATTTACACTGGGATGCAGAGAATATTTAAAGAGCGTGTCAAAATGGGTACACGTAATGAACAAGATATCGGATAGGCTGTTCCGCTGCGCAATACGTGACCTTCTACCAAGTTCAAAATATGCATGTTCACTAGGCTGATAACGATGGGGCGTCACCTGGCCTGTCCATCATCTGAATACCGAGAGAGACGGGGTTCTGTGACTACACGTATTATTGCATCACGTGACCTTAAAATATGAATTATGAAAAATCTTGGTCAAAATCCTTTAATACCGAACGTTAGATAAATCATGTATATTATTTTCTGAACAGAATAGGCCCCTCTTGATGCAAGATACATGAAACTTTATTTAAAGTCGCATACATGTAAACAAAAAAACATTAGCTCTTGAGAGCTATTATTGCGACAAACATATGTAAAATGGTAGGGTAAATGATATAAGCAAGGATAAGGCAGCTCACCTTGTGGCTTGTCACATTACTTTTGTGTAGAGATAAGTGACCAATTGCTTGCTTGCTTAAGGAATCACGATTGAACGGCCTTTAAAAATCACCACATGTAACAATCATATTGATCACTTATTACCAAATCATGTACCTATATTCAGCATAATTTGAAATAACTCCTCCTGTATCCCCTCAGCTTACTTCTGACATAGAGCTGTCCCACAAATAACGGAGCGCGCAATGTTAAACACGTGGCATTTTTAGCTCACCTGGTCCGAAGGACCAATGTGAGCTTATGCCATACCGTTACGTCCGTCCGTCCGTACGTCAACAATTTCTTTAAACGACTTCTTCTGGTTGGAATTCAACTAAATTTGACTGAAAGCATCCCTAGGTGGTGGGGAATCAAAATTGTACAAATGGTGGGGCTGACCTTCCAGGGGGCTGAGGGGCGGGGCCAGGGGAAAAAAGACGTTCTATTGCATTATTGTTGTCATGTGTGAGTGTGATGCATTGCTATTTAATTTTGAAGTCAAATATAACAGAAGTTGCTAATTCTGCTTATTTGCTCAACGCATTTTTGTGAAAATTTGGGATAACATTTTGCCTTGATTTTGAAAACGCTGCTTGCCTGTCCTAGCGTATCAATACCGCAACAAAGGCCTACTCGTCTGAAGGTTTTTCGTTTACACTTCTAAACAATCGAGATCAGTACTCAACTCATTTTATATTGGTTATACGAAAATATGAACGTATAAAAGTGTTTTTCGTTAATCTCCTTGGGTGACGCTACGCATGCGCATTTTTCTATTTATATTTAGGGCATCCTATTATCGCGTGGTTTTGTTTTGTAATAGTCTTACGGCTCATCGACTTGCCTGAGAGTTTATATAATTCTTGAGAATTCATATCATGCTTGAGAAGTAAACATTGCCTGAAATTTTGTTCATCGTTCTTGAGAACTCTTCCAACAGTTTTCATGCAAAGTTCTCGAAAATTATGTACTCGATACACATGTTCGCGGAAGTTGTGCAACTTTGATTACTGTTTGATCTGTTATTTCTCCTTTTTATATTTATTAACAAGTGTTTGGGCCAGAGTGGGAATCAGACTGGATGGGAGAGCGGGGGATAATAGTCAACCATCCTGGTGACAGTTCAAGTTGAAGTTCCAGTGTTTGATGACCGGGTAACTTTGATGGTTAGTAGTTCTAAGTTTTAAAATTAAGTACTTGCTCTTGAATGTATATCAGTATTCGTTTTGGCATCTATAATTGCTTTATTTTTATTTCACCTTTTACATTCCATTATTGTTCATGTCCAAATATCTGACAACGCCTCCTTCTGTACTTACAGTTCTTTGATCTCTAAATTTTTTAACACGGTGCCTGTCAACCTTCTTTTTTGATGTCACACAAATCAGCCATACAAAACGTCTGGTTCACGAAACTTAAAGTGTTAATCGAAACTGACAATGAAAAATCCCATTCGTAGTGTTAAAGGACAAGATTCGTATGTAAGAATGAACAACTTTCTTCAAACGTCGCAACATGGAGAAATGTTCCACACCGTTAATGTCGGGGGAACCAGTCCGATATTGTCTCGTCGATCGAAAAATATTTGTCAAGGCGAAGTCCAAACAAACATATTTTGTGTCCATAAAGGTGACAGTTACAGCAATGATGATCCGGTCTGAGACGCAAAACAACTTGCGAAGTGTAATTCGCTGGGGGATTCAGTAACAAACTGTTTGAGTATTGCTGATAGTTTCGAGGTTAAATAGTGTTTTTGCCCATTTTCCTGACAATAAAAACATGGAATCGATTCATTTCATATTTCATAAAAAATCATTTGTTTTAAATCATGTTTTTTTTTCTTTCAAATTGCTTAATCTTAATCTTAATTAAAGAAACAATCAAACTCGTTCCAATTGTTTAGACTGCTGAGCTTTTTTTTTTTGTTTTTTTTTAAAGATTGTAATTATGATCGACTGCCTTTGTTGTTTGCAGATATCTGTGAAATCGGGTGAGAATTCTGTCTTTTGAATGAAAACACCAGAGATTACAGCATTTTGCAAATTTATTGTGTTAACAATTCTCTTTCAGTTCTTTTAGTGTGTAACATGAGGGAAGCGCCAATACAGAAATGTACCCCCGAAGGATATTGCTTTCGTACTTTTAGATTCAGTGCGAGAACTCACAAAGATTTCACAGCGCTAAACTATCTATTTAACATTAATCTATTTGTTTTCATGATTCATAATGACATTACAGATTCCCAAAATATCCAGAAACTCAAGAGAACACTTCTTGTTATCAGATATGTTTCTCTTAAAATGCATATGGACCGAATCTTATGAAAACATGGGGAAAAAAGACTTCAAAACAATAAAAAAAAAGTTTCATTTTGTACTTTATCAAGTTAAAATACAAATAGTTACAAAAATATAAAAACTTCCAATGATCATTATTATTATAACTTCCTTCTATTTTATAAATGACTAGACCGTAAAAGATTTTAGAATAGCTAATTGAGAGCTCAGATACTATGTAAGGCGGAGAGACAAAAAATCACTATTACGGGAAGGAAGAATTCTTTAAATTGCAGTTAGTTTTTAAATCTTATATTTGTTTGTCAAAGAATTGATATTTTGAAAACCATTGCTGACTATCGGTATCGAGAGTTATCTCTATCAAAAATTGTTAAGATGATATTGTGTAATGTTTGATTTCTCTTTTATAATATCCCTTTCGGTTTATTTAAAATCACAAACTGAATTCAATTGAAGAAAAGAACTATTTTCTTTATTTTGAAAAACAAATACATCCAACTAACTGTTATACCAGTCAAATGTACAATTCAGTTATAATGGGTGAAAAACCGCTCATAAAAAAGTAACGTTTCATCATGGAACAGGTTCATAAAACGCATGTAATGTTTTTTTGTTTTTTCTTAAAAGAACAGCTGTTTTCCTACAACAGCTGACAGAAAATAAATCCCTTCTTCCTAAGATATACTACTCGAAGTCAATCAAATCTAACACGACTTTTGTCTTATTATTTTAATATATTCGACATGACATTTAGTTCAAATCATCTGTTCTAACAACAGTTTTACATGTATCCTTCATAATTCTACATCTTTGGTACATTTCTAAAACAAGGGAAAATACATTTTGCAAGACCTTATTAATACCTGATACATACAACTGATATAACTCCTTTATAATTCAAATATATAAAGTTTCATTAAAAGCATTTTATCCCCATTATAAAAATAAATAGTGACTCAACCCCTCCCCACCTCGTAAGCAGTGTCGTTTTAAAACAACACACCATATAGTCATGTTCGATACATGGCTATAAGTTATTTTTATGATACCAACTTCAACTCAACTACCATTATCAGTTAAACAGCTGCAAGAAAATTAGTCAACTTATTCAGAAGCACCTTTAGTAGTCCATCAACCTCCATATTCAATCACACAAGTGCTTGTAAATCCGTTATCCTCTTTTACAGAGATACAATGGCTGGAGCATCAGCCTCCCTCTTCCTCAGAGAAACAATGGCTGGAGCATCAGCCTCCCTCTTCCTCAGAGAAACAATGGCTGGTGCATCGGCCTCCCGCTTTTTCAGGGAAACGATGGCTGGAGCATCTGCCTCTCTCTTCCTCAGAGAAACAACGGCTGGAGCATCAGCCTCCCTCTTCCTCAGAGAAACAATGGCTGGAGCATCAGCCTCCCTCTTCCTCAGAGAAACAACGGCTGGGGCATCAGCCTCCCTCTTCTTCAGAGAAACAACGGCTGGAGCATCAGCCTCCCTCTTCCTCAGAGAAACAACGGCTGGAGCATCAGCCTCCCTCTTCTTCAGAGAAACAACGACTGGAGCATTAGCCTCCCTCTTCCTCAGAGAAACAATGGCTGGAGCATCGGCCTCCCGCTTCTTTAGAGATACAACGGCTGGTGCAGCGAAGGCTACAAAGGGGAAAAAAGATCGATTATTTGAATTTAATTTATATTTTATTTTAATGAATTTTAAATAATAAGTTATCAGTATAATAGCTTAAAATATATTTATTAAGTATAAAGAGTTAGTATTTTTTTTTAAAGCAATTGTAAACTCACCAAAAGTACTCAGACACAGCACGGCCATGAACGAAATCCACTGAATTTTCATGTCTGATTGTTCTGAAACAATGAAACGACACAGTATAAAGCACAACCTCGTTAATCAATCCACTCAATATTTAAGGACAAAGTCCCTACTCTTAATCGTCTCAAATGGTAGTTGTTATTCCCTGCTTACTGTTCAGCAATTAAGGGGAATGGCAACACCTGGTTCACCCGTTGTCAGTATAATGGAATCGGGCGGAATGCTGTGATGGCTGCCTTCGGCATGGTATATCAGTGAGATGGCACTATAAAGTCGGCATCAGATCCGCGCTATCACAAGGAGGCAATAACACCAATATACACAGTCTCTTGCACACATACACACATGCATGCTTACACAACACTTACGGAGACACGTTCTTGAATGACCTTGGCTGCTACAAATGGGACGTTAAATAAAATAAAACTTATCACGTTCACAGTCCAGATATATGTATTTAAGCTGGGGAAGATGGTGGCTAGATTATCAAATCTCCCCTTACTAATATTAAAAGTCAGTGATACACATTTTAACGCACGCGTTTTTGAGGTATATTTCTTTCTCGGTGATGGAATTCAAAGCTACATATATATATATAAATTTAATTTCTTTTTGCGGAATGGAGTTAAATTAATTTGATCCTGGTATCACTCTACTGGAATAGCGATATGGTTACATTAAAGTGATCGATTGTTTCCGGTTTCCGGAAAAATAAACAGAGTATCGATAATGCTTGCCTGTTATAACCAAAATTTTATGAGTGTGACAATATAAAACTAATCGTTAATGTCACCTATATTTCAATAATATGGCAGATTATAATCTTCCAGAAAAAAAAACATATGGTATTAAACATGATACTCATTTAATTCCTATTACATGTATTATAATTCTAAAGCCTTCAGATAAAATTATTCAACAGTTGCATCTAAAAAACGTCGTATTAAAATTAAGGCTTTGCACCATTTGGCATAGGTAACTCAAAGATTTTTTTATTATTTTTTATATTTTCTGTTAAGTTTTGTTTACAAATAAATGTTATACATCGTGTAATTATACAGTGTCGTGTATGTGGCAAAATCACCACTTTTTATCGTCGCTTTATATAAATAGGAAATGCACTTCAATAACTTGAGTTATTAATTGATATCTAGCAATGCGTAAATGACGTTATTGATAAAACTTGCCGCAACGAATATAAAAGTGTGGTTAACCCTTCATCTGCTCAAAACCTAATATCGGCAAGTAAGAATGTTTCATATTACAGTTTTGCAACAAAGATATTGAAGTGTTTGTTCCAAACAGTTTTTGAATTCGAGATTTCATTATTAATGGTGAATTATATTTTACGTTGAATATTTATAACAATCCCAGCAACAAACATAACAAATACAAAGCGACTTTGAATAAAGCGGTACTCAATTTATCACATTATTTAGAAGCGTAAGAAATTACAAATGTACCTTGTGAACAAAAGATTAATTCATTTGTAATATTGGATACTGGTTTACCACACCATTCTTCCTTTGACTATAGTTAAAGCATTATGAAATAAAATGTTTGTAAAGCAAAATGTATACATTGTATATACTCTTAATACAAGTATCATGAATTATCGTTATACTTTGGATACATATTAGATATGGTTGTTTTGTTTTAAAAGAATCGGCATGGAAAACCGACCACATCTTGTTTATCAAAGTTTATCAAAAGAATCTTGTTCATAGGAAATTTAACAAAAATGTGTTGGTGAACGAAAAAATATATGGAATTAATTTGGCCTGAGCTAATTGCTTAAACTAAAACTATTAATTTATTATAAACCTGTACATCTTGTTAACATTAATATTATGTTCCAGTTCTTGTGTTTGTACACAAATTAACAATTGAAACATTTAGGAACTAAAGAGCTTTTGACAAAAGTTCGCTGTTCTCTGCAATACAATACTTTCATTTTAAAAAGCTTGATCGCTTTACAAATACAAAACTAAAATTCGGAAACTTATGTTCAGGATTAATACAAATGTTTAGTAAAAACCCAAACAATTATTGCGAAAGTTTAACTTCTGTGTAAGAATTTTTTTTACTTTTTTGCATAACCTAGATTCTTGAATTATAGGTGACATTGTTGCTGCTTCATGCATAGAAAACAGGTTTTTAACTCGACGATAGGCAGTTTTAACAAACTCTTTTACACAACTTTGAACGTTCTTGACACAAAATAAAAAAAACCCAGTTTAAATGTAAAGATATAAATGAAAACTCCTATAGCATCATTAACAATTTAAAATACAGTTTGTATAGATAATAAGACAATTTAATTGAATTCATTTTTGCAATTGCAGTACTGTTAAACCGAATTTCATTATTTACTGTCATAGTATAATAATATAACCTAAACTTCGGCATCAGTCACTTGGCTACTGTTTGCCTTAGTTTAACAAAATTTTAATTATTTATATAAAACATATATTGATTTATTTACAAATTTAAAATTAGTTCATGATATATTTACATTCGTTCAGTATATACATACATAAATAGTACATTAGCTCATTCAAATTAATTTTTAATTTGGAAAAGTCTTACCTTTTCAAGCTGGTAGTGTCTTTATCTTGACAAAATTGTCGGAGTGAAAAGCAGGGATTATAACGATTTTACTTAGATCCGCATCAGCTTTTATAGGCAATTATCAGGTACATGTCATCTTGGGTTGGTAAAACACATTATTTATGCAGTTTAAAAGAAACCATTAAGCATCACCTTCAAGTCGACATCACTTATCATGAACCAATAAAAATATTCCAAGTGATTTATGTGAATGTCCATGCCATCAGACAATGCCCCGCCGGACAGGTACATTAATGTTGTTTGATAACCACATGTGACTAAATTATTAAGATTTAGCACACGAATATAGGATACACGTTCCTGGCATTGGTAATTAATTCTTCGAAATTTCGTAATAATGCTGAAACCGCTTTCCAAGAAAACAAAAACATATATATATTGCTACTCTTTCCTAAAAGAAGTAAAGGGCGCCGTCTATCCTGGTAAACATCTTTGATATTTTGTCACCAAACGTTTTTAAGCTGTTTACATAGCTCTACCATCAAATGGATGTAGGTTAAACTTGTTGTAGTGTCGATTAGTTTTATTTTACACGAATAACTGTCTTTCTGTTTGAACTGGTGTGCATGTTACTATTTTAACAGTTTGTAACGTAGTCTTATAAAGTACAACAATTGTTCTCATCACCTGTCGTTGATTTTGAAGCACTGCAATAATCTTTTTAATTTTTCGAAGCAATTTAAATGATAAAAGATAGATGGATATGCATATCAACACTATGAAACAACCTGCATGTACTTCCATAGCTCCATGAACCTGTTATTCATAAACGCCCTGAATATGACCTCTGAAGTTTTAAAAACCTTACATATATATATATATATACATAAATATGTATTTTCATTTTCATACAATAATATCAAGTACTCTCAGCATCTCTATCAATTCTATAAGTTTGAATTCATGCTTGTTGCTAGGCTTGGTTTGGTTTTGGTTTAGTTTTGTTTAACGTCCTATTAACAGGTAATGTAATTTAAGACGTGCCTCCATGTGTGAAGTGTATGCGGGCTTGCGTGTGTATATGTAGGAGACAGGGTATGTTGGTGTACCTGCCTCCTTGTGATAGCGCGGATCTGATACCGACCTTAGAGTGTTATATATCACTGAAATGTCATGCCGAAGGCACCAAGCACAGTATTCCCCCCGGTCACATTATACTGATAACGGGTGAACCAATTGTTGCCATTCCCCCGTAATGCTGAACGTTAAGCAGGGAATTACAACTACCTTTTTAGCCCACCACCATCTGATTATGGGCTATTCAAATCGCCCTGCGTCCGTGGTCCGTCCGTCCGTCCGTCCGTCGTCCGTCCTTAAACAATTCTTGTTATCACTTTTTTTCAGGAAGTAACAGAGGGATCCTTCTCAAATTTTATATGTAGGTTCCCCTTGACCCCTTTTTGTGCAACTTTTGACACTGAAGGGTTGTTATGGCTATTTCACAGGAAGCAAAAGAGGGCCCTTTCTCAAATTTTATATGTAGGTTCTCCTTGGTCCTTAGTTGTGCAGGGCAACTTTTGGGACTGATCGGATAAACAAGATGGTCGACAGGCAGCCATCTTGGATTTTGACAGTGAAAGTTTGTTATCGCTATTTCTCAGGAAGTGCTGGAGAGATTCATCTCAAATTTAATATGTAGGTTCTCCTTGGTCTGTTGTTGTGCATGTTCAATTGTGAGACTGATCGGATATAGAAAATTGCCGAAAGGCCAATATTTTGGATTGTGACATTAAAGATTTATTTATCACTTTTTCTCAGGAGGAAATGAAGGGATCTTTCCCAAGTTTGTTATGTAGGCTCTTCTAGGTCTGTGGTTGTGCATATTGAATTTTGAGAATAATCAGATTAACAAAATGGACGACAGGCCACCATCTGTGATTGTGACATTAAAGGTTTGTTTTCATTATTTCTCAGTAAGTACTGGAGGGATCTTTCCCAAACTTGTTATGTAGGTTTCCCTATGTCTTTCGTTTTGCATATTTACTTTTGAGACTGATCCGATAAACAATATGGCCGAGAGACAGCCATCTTAGATTTTGATAGTGAAGGCTTGTTGTCACTATTTCACTGAAATGCCATGCCGAAGGCACCCAGCACAGCATTCCACCAGGTCATATTATACTGACAACGGTTGAACCAGTTGTTGCCTTTTCCCTTAATGCTGAACGTTAAGCAGGGAATAACAACTAACATTTTTTGGACTTTGGTATGTCCCGGCCTGGGGACAGAACCCATTGCCTTCCAACAATTGCTGAACCTTAAAATAAATGTATATGCTTTGTTTAACTAAGGACAGCAAATTTGAATAATTGCCTGTCTTTTAATTTTAATGTATAGTTGGATGTGACGACGTAAAATTTAAAGAGGAATTGAAAAGCAATCATCGAACTGTATTAATTGTTCTGTAAGGAGTTAATGAACAAACTCTGCTTTCAAGCCGTCATTGTTTTCCAAGCATAAACAGGGGATAAACAGAAAAATCCAAACACCTCCCCTCCCACTTACTATATGATTGGATAGAGCAATGAACATTGAGGACCTGCAAAAATTACTATTTATTAATTCTAGTCTTTCCAATGTACTCTGCTTAGCTTAGAGTACATTGTGAAAGACTAGAATTAATCCACTGCGCCTATTCTAACACTTTGCATAACTATCCTAGTATCCTTCCTCAATTACCATTTCTTTCCCTGGGTTATCCATCTTTGCAGGTCGGCGATTGAGAAATGAATATCGTACGAGGCCACTTATGTAAAAACCCGTGCAGAATTTAGGATTCGATTTTGTACCCTCTACTAGGGGAAACAAAAACGACCAAAATAAATCTGCTGCACCCATTACAATATTTGGGAAGTTAATATTTCTCTCTATTTCTAACATAGCGCGTTGCTTGGCTGTATCTCACTCTAGGCTGTAGTGAAGGATGTTCTCCCAGGTGACGAAGGCAATGGGTTCGTCAGTATTTTTATTCAACAAATATTTTTATTTTTATAATATTATTTTGTGGTAACATACACTTGGGGATCTGTCGGTGTCTCCCTCTCGTCCTCTTATGACCCTGACTGTTGCAAGGACGTTAAACCACAAATATGTACAAAAACACATTGTAAACAAATACATAAACCACAGTGTCATACACAAGGTCGGGAATTTAAAGCTATACAAAACACAGCATGTTGTTCTGACGCAAAATGAACCACGGAACGTAATACTTCATGAATATTCCTTGTCTACTTTTCAAGTTGTACGTGTCATTTCTCACGAGAACGTGACGTTTTGAAAAAATCAGTAAGGCGCCGCTCCTTGTTCCGAGACCTCCCTTACCGGACTTTGATAAGCGATAAAGATTGTTCAACCTCATGATACATGTAAACAGAAGGACTATTAATGATAGTTATCAAATTTAATGTAAACAGCAGCTAAAGTGCATTTACGGCATCAAACGTTGGCATTTGTGAACATCGGTAGGCTTGATATCCTATCACAACTACGTTTAATAGCCAATCATTTTCTATTTTATCTTATCGTTTAGATTGCAAATTTTCTGTATCGCACATGTCGAGAAAATAATTGCAGATATTACTTCCACATGGTAAAACAACATTTTAAAACTGAAAACGAAATAAATTCAATTTTTCTTAGGGGAAGTTGAAGTACGTTTCTATATGTATTTAAGCCTATATTTCACACATATTTTACATGTGTTTAAAAGAACTATTTAATTCTTGAAATTTCAAGTATTTGCATTTATTTCGTTCAAATGCAAAATAGAAACAAAATGATACATTAACACGGGCCATTATTATTATTTCCAACTGCGTATAACTTAAATAAGCCTGCACCTAAGTTAACGCCAATGAATTAATTAAGGACGTATCATCATCCACGTAAACACATGTAATGTCGATTAATTGGCTTGCTTTATGGGGAAATCTGACAGATAAAAAGGGTTCCTAATATGTACCTGGAAAAGAAAATTCGAGAATTTGCCGACGTTTGTCACGAACATGGCTTGGCTGACCTCTAGGATGTACAGGTCGACGTAGAACCCTGAATATTTTTAGTGATAATCCCAACTTTTTATATTTTATTTGAGAAGGTTTAACATTACTTGAAAGTATTTCAACATTATTCAAAAATGCCTGCTTACCATTAAGCATCGTTTTAAGCTTCGAATGTAGGAAATATTAACTACTTTTAAGTGACAAACAAACAAACAAACAAATATGATATAAAACAAGTAACATTCTAGCCAGAGAATCGTCTCTGAAAGAGCGGTCGCATGTAAACATATCCTATAAATAATGTCGACATCATTATTCTCTTGTCAGATCATGTCGACAATGTTTAAAATTAGGTTGACATATGTATTTCTGAAGTCGAATTTTGATGGCAGAAATCTGCCACCGTTATAATACAAATAATAGAACAAATTATCTGAGAAATTGTAACATTGATGATAGTTTATAAAGCCGTCATTAAAATACTTATAAGTATTGCCATTACAGCAACGTTAAATGATTTTTTATACTGCTTCAACACAAATACATAGTAAAAGTATATGAAATGTTATATCTTCACATACTACCCAGTTAAAATGGACCTTTCTATTCACACCGTTGATTGGATTTACAAGTTTATACAAAATTTATATGAAGAGACTGTAGAATCAGTGCTTGCATAGGTACTCTTTTGTAACATGAAATATGGTATTTACATGTACATAACTACACAATTGACAACTTATTTTTTGTTTGGACATCGGATCAGATAATTGCAACAAACGGCAGAATTGCGCTGAGCAACCGATTGAAAATGGCAATCTGCCTTGTTATCAAGCGAGACGACATTTGAACAAGGTGTAAATATTTCGCTACTAGTTCTTATGCTGCAACATTTCGTCGTTTTACTTTTTTTTTAAATGTAATAAATGGAAAATTAAACGTTTTTTCCGTTGAATACCATTTATGGTTCACTGATATGGAAGAATATTTTTTCACTCGTGCTTCCGATTCGTGAAGATATTGATATTCTCCCATACTCGTGAAAGATATCTGGAATTCAACGGAAAATTATTAAATATTCTCTGTAGGTGAGTTACTTAAATTCTGTAATACTGCCTGAACACATATCATGAGCTGCATTGGTATATATGTTAATCGAAATTAACTATTCCCGTATAATAACACCCAAACAAGTGGTTCGACCTTACCAATTGGAAAAAATATTAATCCGCTCATGAGATTAGTTTTGGAAGAGAAAACGTTGTTAACAGCCAAAAGTAGATTAGGCATAAGAGAATGTATGTTTCGGATACCCCGAAAGACCCTAGTTTTTACCTCCGACTTTAACAATGGCATCTCCCTCAAAAGCTTTTAAACGTCATGTTATTATTTAACTGACCTTAAACTTTAATGAAAAAGAATACAATAGGTTTGGTCTAAAGAACTGTTTGGTGATTATTGTAATTTTTTAAATTGCCCCCCCCCCCCAACACACATCCTCCCTCAAAATGAAAATAAAAATATTGAAACTTCTTGCCGACTTACACTATTTTTCAGTCATGTTACCTGAAACAACCTGAAACAAACGTATTTTGTTTCCATTAAAACCATACAGTTTGGCTTCAACGCAGGCAGCCATATCAACTTAATGTAGCGGGAATCGTAATGACTCTGATGCAATTACTATTTTTCTGGTTGTTTGTGTGACTGGTGCGTATTTTTTTTAATTCCAAGAAAACGCATTCAACCTGGTCATCAGCTTGTCACGGTGGTAAAACCTGACAAGATAGGAGGCGGAGCTTCGCCAGTAAAAAGGTTTTTTTCTCGTTATTTCTAGGACAACGCTCCAGTAGGCACACATACACCGAGATGATGACCGGTAGCGTAGTATTGGTGGTATTTGTGTGTGCTAGGGCAGTGTTAGGCCTGCCTTATCTACGTAAAGCAGACCATTACAATGATTCTGGGCCGCTCTTAAAGTTACCAGATTTGAACAAAGAAGTGTATTATCAACATATGAAATTACCTCTGCGTACATTTGTCGGAGAAAAGGTTTGTATATCATCACCATTCTTGTGATAACAAATTCATTACAAATGGTCCGTATCAAATTAGGGTGTAAGTATAATCGAATAACGATCTTGGGTATATCTGCATGTTTTTGAATGGTTTTACCATATTTTACAGAAAATTGAATATGGCTGTTCGGCTTTTCCTCTGAAGGCAGACGAATACATTGGTAAGTATTGCTTACTTTATATTTCAAAAGATTTTACTGTGAAATGAAAGTTTTATGTAATTGCCAATTTTACAAAAATAACTCGTGTCTATGTTTTGAATTAAGATATAGTAATGATTCAGAATAAATTCTAAAAAGTGAAATGAGTGTCATGCATTTGTTTTGTGTGGGTTTTTTTCTGTTTCGTAGTTAATGCAAATAAAGATAGATTGTATGTTTTATATATTGTATATATAATTACAACATGTGTGTATAATATCAGCTATACATAACTTATGCTTTTATGTTCATTTGCCGCTGTGAACTAGAACAGCTTACAACGTTTTATACATTATTACAGCCTGTGTGAAAACTACATGTTATACATAAATACAGCGCGTGTACAAAGTAGTCCCAGACTTGTACTGCTCGTGAAAACAATAGGTTTGTACTCCGTCCACCAGTCGGCAAGTCCGCCCAACCGGCAGTGCATCATTTTTTTTCTTGGCCATATCTCGGAAACTTTGTCATCTTCAATTTCCAAATTTTGTATGTTAATTACTCTTGAGATGATCAAGTTTTGCGTATAAAATCATGTCGTATGTTCAGCTCTATACTATACAAATATATATAGTGTGTCCAATTCGATACTGAAATCTGATGTTATTTGTTATATATTAACTACGTGTTCTGTACATAACTACCAGTATTGTTGGTATTATATGTTATATACAGGAAATGTTAACCACGTGTTGTGTAGGTATTGTATATTATATTAACAACTACATATTGTAAGGATATTATTTGCTATTTGTAATATCAGTCTGTATAGGTATTATCTTATATACACCTTCCTCGAGTAAATTTTACTCGCTTGTATAGTGCATCTATTACTTTATTATACATGTATGTCTTTCCTCTCTAAGTCATGAGTCAATTTTAATTGTTATTTACAGTCGAGTATTTGCCCATCGGAGAACGAGATGATGTTTATCACATAACAGTCGATGTATGCGACGTCCCCTATGATGAAGCTCCTATTTGGTGAGTTGTTCTGTCATTTGCAAATGAGAACTTAGTGATGTTAATATTTATGTTAATATGCTAAATGGAATATCTGTAGATGTTGTTAGATCTTGGTGTGAAATAGAGGTAATTATTTGCAAATTTTGAGCATAACACTTACCAGCCCGAGAGCCCCCTATAACGTCAAAGAGGAAGTGACGTCACTGAATATTAGTATAGCTTTATCGAAATCTCAATATTATCTGTATTATACGTACATGTAAGCTATACAAAACAAAACAAGAACAAGTAAATTCACAACTGCAGAACAAAAAGAGACATGTTTGGAACAGTCGGAAGTATGATTCATTATTATCATGGTGTTGATATTTCGAACATATCTATTTTGGTTTATTTATTTATTCATTTCATATATTATTCGCCGAATATTTCAGTAAATTGCCATCAAGCAATTTGGATCCGTACTTTCTCGTCCAATTTAAACATGGTAGATGCTAAATTTTCCACGTGTCACCCCGATTCCTTATATATCTCACCCCTGCAGGTCGGGATCGAGAAAAGAATGCACCTGCTGTTGACCACTGCCATGTATCGTTCGAGACTCATGTGGAAGCTCCCTTCAGAATTGGGGATTTTGTTTTGTACTTTTTATTAGATGACACGAAAGCGACCAACAAAAATTCTGCTGCACTCATTACAATATTTAGGATCTTCCTTTTCTTTCTACTTCTAACTACCTTTTATTTCCTAGCGTCTTGCTTGGTTCACCCGTTGTCAGTAAAATTTGAACGGGCGGAATGCTGTGCTGGGTGCCTTCGGTATGGTATTTCAGTGAGGTAGCACTATAAAGTCGGCATTAGATCCGCGCTATCACAAGGAGGCAACTACGCCAACATACCTTGTTTCCGGTTCACATACACGCTTACACAAAACACATGGAGGTACGTCCTTAAATTACCTTAGCTGTTAATAGGAAGTTAAACAATATGAAACCAAACCAAACCGAAAATGTCCCCAACCCATTCACCACTCCTTTTTCGTTTCTTACCCGTTTTATAGAGGTACAAAATACAATACATTTTGTTTAACTATGTTTCAGGGAATGCGTTGACCCGACGCACGTTTGTAAAGATCACAAGAGAGAATTCCTGTATTCCTGGACGAACGGGGCCCCCGGTTGGACCCTACCAGAAAGTAAGTCACCGACGTACTGTTATGAATTCTTTTTCGTGAAGGATTGTTTTTTACTTTAATTTGCGGGGACACTCATTTGAAAAATTAAATTTCCTCAAACAATAATTGAAAATATAATCATAACCAATATTGAAAAAACATCCTCGCTTTAGCAAGTTTATGTATTCGCAAATAAAGAACGATATATTTTCGAAATTAACTGCACTGAACAAAAGGTGATTTAAAGAGTATAATCAACAACGATTACAACCTGTATTATAATATTCTTACTTTATCCGATACATTGAAATAAAATTGTGTTTAGTCTAAACCATTTTGTAGGATTTGTATGACGGGAGATAACAGATAACACTGCTGTTGCCTTGCCTTTTCTTCTTCTTACTTATGTCGATTTTTAGTTGAAATATATTTTTTCTTGATGGCGCTGTTTAATATTTGCTTTTTCACCTTTTCATTCATTCGAATGTATATAGTCAATAAAACACTCTATTAAAAATATTTGTACTACATACTTGTTAGGTGGTCATGACGTCATGACATTGTGACATTATAATAATAAGAAGATAGCACTAACCGATGATTGCTATTGAACTAACGAAGTACTACTTTCAATTTTAACAAAAACTGTGATTGAAATAAAAGAATGTATCATCATATTGTGTGAATCTTGAAAACTACAATCGTGAAAATCTTTGTTTTATTTTATATATCAGATACCGGAATATACACCGGTAATAAACCCCGGTATGTTATAATACAAGTCCATGGACGTGACGACATCTCAGGTAAATTCACCTTTGGATAATTTAAATAAGGAAAGTAAAGGATACAATTTAAAACGTGCATCCCAATGCAATTACACAATGTAAGTTATACATGTGTGTAAACATAGCATCGAGGTCGTTCAATTTCCCTGAGCATGTTTAGGTAAAAATTTATGATGTACATTTCCGTATACGCTATATACACGATAAAATGGGGCTTCGTCTCGATATGGTACTATGTACATGTATATATGTACACAAGACAAAAATGTTAATACCGAAGTTTGTCCACAGCATATGTTGTTAGGGCCCCATATAGAGGATGCGGGTGAGCGATACTAATTCGAATTTTCGTCTGTCACAATAAAACAAGGTATCAACTGACCAAAGGTCAAGGTCACTGGGTCAAAGGTCCAGGTCAAATTTTGTGTCTTCCCTGATGAACATTTTGTTATGACATTATGAAGCAAAGATGGTTGGAATTTAACAAAGAGTCAGCTGACTTAAGGCCAGGGTCACTGGATCAAAGATTAAGGTAAAATTCAGTATCTTTTCACTGGGGAACATTTTGCTATGACACTTTGAAGCAATGTTGGTCAGAATTAAACAAGGAGTCATTTGACCAGAGGTCAAGGTTACGTGTTCCAAAGGTTCAATGTCAAGGTAAGGTTTTGTATTTTTCACTGATGGACATTTTGTTATGATATTATGAAGCAAATTTGGTTGGAATTGAAAAATGAGTCAACTGACCAAAGATCAGGGTCACTAAGTTAAAGGTCAAGGTCATTTGGGTCCAAAGGTCAAAGACAAAGTTGATCTCTTACTTTGACCCTGGCTTTTGATGGGGGAAGTATTTAAGGCTAACAAGTGAGTATTGCACCGGTATTTAAATTTCTGTAAGCCCAGCAAATATGGAAGTGGAAAGAAACAAGACTCACATCATAGTACATGTAAAATGTCTATTTTGCTTCCTTGCAAATGTTTTTGAAGTCCAAATGTCAAACTTCAAGCTCAGCTATATGGGCAGATTGCTTCTTGATGATTACGGGGGATATATTGCCACAAGACGAGGCCCTTACTGACCTGTCAGTGTTCTAGTTTCACCTACGTTGACCAAACTTGCTAAAGTTTTAATGTATCTTGGGAGGCATGAGTGTCGAATTCTAAATTCGGGTCTCGGGTCCCACTATATAAAGCGATATGGCCCTTTGTTAATATACAGGATTTTTTCTATTGTCTAATAAGGGGAGACATATGTTTTTGTTCACAAAACCAAAATTCTAGTTAAAAAGTGTGACACATTTATTGAGAGAGTACACAGTATATAAGAATACGTATTCAAGATAAATTCTTATACATGTGCAGCTTTCTTTTTAATATCTTTCGACAACAATATGGGATATGCGTCGATTCTGTTAATAAAAGAATGATTATGTACGCATGTTATGTACATGATAAATTTGTAATCCAAGTTTCCTCGAGTTTTTTCTTCTCGTTTTCAGAGGAACGTGTCTCGGACTTCGCACACATGCGTTTGAAAATCCGGACCACCCGGTGTGTATCACTCCTACTAACTATTAATCAAACACACATTACAAAATGTTAAACAACTTTTAACACATTTTCTTATAATTATATAAACGTCACTCATTCAACATCGATGTCTACTTTGTGTTATCCTCTTTGTTATGATGCCCAATAATAGACAATAGACTGTTACTGATATTAACCCGACAACAAATATATTTAATATTAATAATACTTTCATAAAATTATTTTTATCCGCTGCTATATTTATACTAAGTAAACATAATTATCGAACTGTGCTATCTTGTTTCCACCAGTCCCCGACTAGCTGCAGCTGTTAGTAGATACGCCGGCACCGGCTCTATACCTCCTCACGTAGAAAGTAAGTATATTATCATGTACATATTGATGAATAATACGTACGAATAATCACTATGATCACATGATGTGATGTATTTTCGTATACAAATCCATATATAATAAACTAAAATTTGCAATGGTGTTTTTTTTTCAAAAAATAAAACAAAGTTTCATTTTGTTGAATTATTGGTGATTGAAAGTCTTTCAAGGCGTATTTTCAATATCGCCGATATATGACATGAATGAAACAGAATGCACTTTATCAGAACTAGGTGATCATTTTTGAATAAACGAATTTTAAGATGAACTCAAATAAAATATAAAAGAATAACAATAAAAAATAATTTTAAAAAGCAGATATCAAAATTGTTAAAACAGAGTAACACAGGGAAGTTTTTCACTTACACCATTAAAAAGTACATATAGAATAGTATCAGGTGTTCCGAATTCAATTAAAAAGACAAGCACTTATCTAGGTCACAATTATATAATATGATAACTTCAGTTTTGTTGAGGAAGGTACATGCACTGTGTTTATTCTACCTTTAGATTTCACCGTTGACACTGCGTGTGTATGGAACAGGACAACACCTACGCCTATATTAGCTTACGGAATACATACACACGGTAGAGGTCAGTCATTATGTACCTGACGTCAAGTACACATACAGGAAATCTTAGGGACGACCTCTTCATTCAAGTTGACGTGTGTCTTTTACTTTTACGTTTGTTTTATTTCATTTCAACAAAGTTTATTCATGACGTTGTATGAATTGGATCGAACAACAGGCTATGCCTATATCAGTTTTCTCCTGCATGCATTTGTATTAATCAGCATATATATATTATAATTTATAGTGAAACGAAAGATGTAAAAAAAACAGACAACTTATATATAAAACAGATATCAATGTGCAAGTCATGTGGTAAAGGTAAGATAATTCTAACTGCTTCTGAAAGTTCACAAGTCAAGCTGTGCTCCTTCCTGACCTCACCGGAGTAATGAGTGAGTTTAAGTCATATTCCTTTACTAGATTCTCCCCGGGAGTTCAAAATCCACACAGAGTGACTCATAGATAGTTGAATATTCGGCTTATTTAATTAAATATTATTAATAAGCTATGTCAATATTGTATGGTATATCAATATTCACATTAATAATACGTTAAGAATATAATTATACAACTACTTGTTATTAATTACAAAATACAAGTCCATGTTGATTTAAGGGTGAGTATATTATATTAACGTTTGTTTGATAACATTTTTAATTTTATGTTTTTATCGACAATTTGTCGGCCCTAATGACTAACACAGATTGGCTGTTGACCATATAATGATAATAACAAAACTCTTCATTACTGCATTACCTGTTGTCAGTCTAGGTAATTTGTAATACTTACATATATATATATATATATATATATAACATTTTTATAATGTCATGTATTTACTGAAATCAGCTCCTGCATATATTACTTTTATTAAACATATACAACTGGTCTTAGTTTTTATTTACGAGAGTGTCAATGTCTTTATAATTGTGACTTGTTTTAAAACAATAAATCCATATAATATCATCGTACCAATGTCGAGATTTTGGGTTTAAGTTAATTTTAGATCTAAAATTTAGTTAAGGATATGCAGACAAATACACAAGCATTTGAATATGACGTAATGACAATTGTTATTTTAAAATGGAAAATTTAAGTTGTATTGAACTTCATGAGAACTCGTTTAAATTATGAATTAAGATCGATATCAAATTACAGACACGATTCTCACAAAAACTGTAACGTCCTAAGAGGTTTCTCCGCAATGATTTTAGGTGTGAAATGGTTAGGGCAATGCCAATAATATTTTGACGTAAGGGATCGGGCCGTTGCGGTTTATGGGCAAATCGTCTGCCCCCACCCATCCCTCCTGTTTCATTTTATACTCTTTTCTAATATTAGGAGTTGCATTGTCCGGTTACATTGTGAGAAAAGGCAAATGGATCGAGATTGGACGTGGTGATCCGGTGTACCCACTGGTAAGTTAGTGTGTCGATATCAGAATATGTGGCATATAGTATTGATAGAACAAAATATGAAAAGGATTCAATGTTATTTTAATCTTAGGTGTATCAAACTTTCACTATTTATTCCATGTACGTTTAAAATTGTATTTGCATCGGTTGAACACGGAACATTTATTTCGCCTACCAATGGAGCGTGTACATACACAATCTGTCGAATAGTTATTAGCTGTTAGCTTCTTCCTCCAACTAGTAACTACCAGTCCGTCTTGAAACGTTGCAACACATTAACATGTACATATTTTATCTGAAAAATGTAATTCTATTTTTTCAAAATTGATTTATGTTGTTGAAGATACAAAACGGAGTTGATTTACTGTATTCGTAGTAAAATCTATAAAATAAAATTGTGTATCATTATTACAGACAATGTTTGACATCACAGAGAGAAATATTTGGCTTCAACCCGGAGATGTTGTAGTAAGTACTGAATGTTTATTTCAATAAAGCAGCACCAGATTTTTTTTGTATGCATTAACATTATGCGGTCGAGGGAAACAGTTCATCTGGTGGGTCCCAACTCCGAGGGAAAATGGGTTTGACTGTTGACTGATAAGGCATGAAACAACTGTTTTGTTACTTGATCAATGAAAAACAAAAATTTGAGTAAGTCACAATCCAACATTTCAAAAAAAAACAAAAAAACTGGAACACTTATAGCTAGTGGTAATGAATATGTAGGTTTTGCACCACTCCGTGTAAATTCAGGGGATACCGTCTCACCGACGCAGTCTCATATTAATATAATGTAACAAATCAATGTTTACTAAACAAATAAACAACAAATTAATGTCCTTTCTAGCTAGTGGTAATGAATGAAAAATGTTTCATGTAAACCATATCTGACTTACAGCATGGAATTTTTGTGTACGTAGTCCTGCATAAAAACCTTTGAGGTGCTCATTCAATGTTTGTACTTCTGCCGACTCAAAGTCGGTTATTGGTATTTTCTTTGCGTCACATAATGCGGCTAAAATTATGACGGCCCCCTTTATAATATTCTTCGTGTTAGCAGCGTCATGGTTCTCAATCAGTTGAGGTAAGGATTCATCACTGATTTCTTCAAACCTGTCCATGTCGAATGTACCGACAGACGACCGTCAACAATCCAGTACCAAAAACGCTTGATCATCGGGGTGCTTGTAATTATAGGTGCTTTCGATTACCTAACACGTGACCAGTCAACAGTCGTAGGGTAGCAAGCACCAGTTCATCACGTGACCAGTCAACAGTCGTAGGGTAGCAAGCACCGATTCATCACGTGACCAGTCAACATTTTTACGGTAGCACACATTAGCTATAGTTCGTTTGGTGAATTGTCTGGGAAACAGTTGAAATTGATTAATATGCATTTATATAGCGTGTCAGGTAACAATTTATACTGTTTCATATAATCCTTCCCCTATGGTGTACTGTGAAATCAGATATTTCGTGGGGCCCACATTTCGTGGTTTCCCGAAAAATAATTCATGAGGACATGAATTCATGGATTACAAGTACCCACTAATACGGAGAATTGCTTTATGTCAAACTTGAATTACTCAGTAGACCTTTGAATTCGTGGAGGATTACCCACGAACTCAACAAAATTAAAGACCCTTCGAAAATGAGTGATTTCAAAGTATTTCAACATTTGCTTAGAAACACATTAGATGTGTATTTTCATTCCTTTGATAAACAGTATATCTAATGTGTCCTTACGTGATGAAACGGCCATATAGTGAAGTAAAAATGTAGGTTTTGTTCAGCTTCTTGCATTGAAAGTTTGAAGTGTTTAAATTGGTGCTTCCTTTTTAGGTATATCTACTTATTATTTGAATGATTTAATTTTGCATTTATCCTGGTTCCTTTTATTTAATTCAAATTTACGCAACATATGCCTTGTTATCCACCTGAATTTAAGGTAATGTTTCCAATACATTGTATGTTCAGTGCCAAATGTATCAAATCTGTGTATTACGTATCTAGGCAACGAGATGTACCTACCGCAATACCGGAAACACACGAATCCAGATGGGGTAAGACTGTTAAAAGATTTCTCTCTGTAATGTAGGCAAGGTCAAATGAGAAATGTTTGAATTGAAAACATATTTGAGAAAATGCTTTAAAATATTGATATGTTGTCACTACGAGTTATCCATACCTCGGTACGTTGGTAGTGGATAAGTGTAATTTTGTAGAAGACCAGTGTAAGTTTATAGTACACCAGTGTAATTTTTAAGAGGACCAGTGACAGTATATCTGATCTCTTTGTTCACTTGTGATCAATAAAATATGTATATAATTTATTGACTCCATATTACTTATATTTTCAGGTTCAACCACGTCAATGAGATGTGTAACTATTTTTTGTATTACGGTGTTTCTTCCGATTCAATTGCTGAGGCCAAGTCACTAGCGTGTTCAAGAGAGGGGGGAGGATGGGACCAACTGTTTGACAACATCCCAGCTGACGCAAGCGATCCTAGTGGCGACACGGAACAGTCTCGCTTTGTCAAAAAGTACCATCTTACCAGAAGTTACTGAAAGGTTATTTACAGTCATCGTTTTTATCATTTAAACATGTAACGAGTACTTCATATAATGGTTTTCTAACAGTGACAGTTTGGGGGAAAACAAATCAGACAAACAAGAAACTTTTGGTGTTTAATGTTCGCCGTACCGATGCCAAAACTGTTAATATTAATTCGAAACCTCTTTTACTGTCATTGAAATTGCTTTAATAAATCTTGTTTGAAAATGATCTCCTGTCTAACGGAAAAAGCCCTGAAAATACTTCAAAGATGGAATTAAACAGTAATGCTTATAAAAAGTGCTGCGAGAGTAAAAAAGGGACTAGGCCGGGATTCGAACCCTTGGCCTCCAATCATCAGAGCATGGTGGCTATAAACAACAATTTAGCTAAGTGATCAGCGATAGTTCACGGACCAAGTCGCACTATGCTTGCATCCAAAAACGATATTAAGGGGAGGTAACTGTTTGTATACAAAAAACACAGATGAATTATTTTATATTTGCCGACAACTGGATAAAAACCTAAATTATTCATAGTTTTCCATACGGAAGCAATACATCCTGTCTCCGGTAATATTACACACACGCACGCTTACACAACACACATGGAGACACGTCCTTAAATGACCTGAGATGTTGAAAGGACGTTAAAAAATAAAAGCAAACCAAACCTTTGAAGGGTTAGATGCTATTATCTGCTTAACAAACAATATTTAGGTAATGACAACAACTGGTTCACCCGTTTTAAGCATGATGTGATTGAAAGAAAAGCTCTGCTAGGTGTCTGCGGCATAGTATTTCAGTGAGATATCACTATAAAATCGGCGTCAGATCCGCGCTTTCAAGGAGGTAAAAACACCAAAATACCCGAGACCTATACACAAATGCACACATTCACAAAAACCCATGAGGCATGTCCTTACATGCCCTAAGCTGTTGACGTTAAACCCTATAAACCAAACCATAATGGTTACAATACTTGTACATCTACATTTTCGACAAAACTATAACGTACATGTATAATAGCGTACTTGATAGTGTTGAAAAAGGTGCCAAAGTAAGGACTGCAAAAATCAAGACTTGGCAACTATTTTTATGTTGTTTTCAGTTTATCATTATTATTATTATTTTAATCCAAAACAAGAGACCATATTCTTATTAAATACTATAGTGTGCTATACATATTTCACTGGCAAACTTTGTCGGCTCCAACTGTTGAAACTACCGGCCAAATATTATTATATGATTCTATGCTTTTTGGTTGTTCTTCAAAGTTGTTTAACATATTTTTCCCTGTGACCTTGTATGTAGGTCAAGGTAATTTTCCTTCCCAAACTTTGTTGGCTCTATCCCAAGAAGCTACCAGCCACATCTTATGGATCCATTCCTTTAGATTCTTCAGAGGAAGTCGTTTGAAATGTTGTTGACCTCTGTAACCTTTAACGTAGGTTGCGGTCATTTTCATTTGCAAACTTCGGTGATCTCTATCCCAAGAAGCCACCAGGCCAATATGAAAATTCTATACCTTTTAGTTCTTCAGGAAAAGTCGTTTGAAGTGTTTGACACATTTTACCCCTGTGACCTTGAAAATTGGTCGAGGTCATTTTCATTCTAAAACTTGGTCAGGATTTATCCAAGAAAGCAACCAGCCAAATATGATGATTCTATACCTTTTAGTTTTTCAGAAGAAGTCGTTTGAAGCGTTTGACATATTTGACCATTATGTCCTGGATAGTAGGTCAAGGTCATTTTCATTCTTAAACTTTGTCTGGCTCTATCCTAGAAAGCCACCAGCTAAATATGAAAGTTCTATACGTTTCAGTTCTTTAGAAGAATTCGTTTGAAGTGTTTGACACATGAGACCTCTGTGACCTTGAAAATAGGTCAAGGTCATTTTCGTTCTCAAACCTTGTCGGCTTCCTACCAAAGAAACTTTCAGCCAAATACCAAGACTCTTGGCCTTTCCGTTCCTCAGAAGAAGTTGTTTAAAGGAAACTTGACGGACAACGCCGGATGACGGACGGACGACGGACGCGCACCATCACATAGCTCACTTGCCCTCGGGCAGGTGAGTTTTAAATACAACAGAAAAAATATTTGAACCTTAATCATAACTTTAAAGTGAGGAATAAACAGCCTTTTTAATTCACTTAAACTCTGAGAGCATGTTGAACACATTTTCCAGGATCGATGCTAAAAATATCAAACGGGTTGGGGGTCGGGGTATTAATGACAGTGGTCTATGTTATAAAAGTACAAGTACGACAGGGCTAGACAAGGACTCGTACTGGTCCATCTGACCAACTGCATAACAATATTAAACATAATAAACTTTATTTTCTGAGGATAAAACCTGTTAAGCAAAGGTCCTCTTGTTAGTTAAATATTAGTTAGTGAAATTACAATTTCAACATTATCACAGACATGATAGTAAAACATCTAATATTAATAAATGTTTTGACAGACATGTGGATATTAGTATATATATATCTATATATATAAAGAAAGTACATGTAACAGCTTATAAAGATCATGGTTTGCATATTAGACAATTTCAATTATAATATACATGCAGGCAGTCACAATTACCATGCTAAAAAAGAGTGGGAGTAAACAGGTTTATCACAGGAAACACAAAAGTTGTTTTGCACTTCAACCTGAGCTGCGTCATGCATAACATGTCACGAGCCATATACAGTAAAACACGTTTTACCTTTTGGTGTGTTTGATATATTTTCCTTTAACATGTATTATCTACGGTGTATTTCTTTAACATGTATTATCTATTTCTTATTGGCCCTTATAACCTCTTTCGTGTTGATTAGCCTATAAGAATCCAATAATAACAATGATGATAATAACACCCAAAACAAAATCATTCAGGATACTGTACATTGGAATTATCTAGTGTTGTGCCTGAATTGATGGTTTGTTTTTATTTTGTTTAACGTTAACAGCTAACAGTTAACAGTTAACAGCTGAGGTCATTTAAGGACGTGCCTCCATGTGTTTGTGTATGCATGTGTAGTAGGGCTAGGGCCATTGACAAGAGGGTGTCGCCACACATTCGCATTATGTTCTTACTTCGACGTAAGAACATAATGCGAATGTGTGGTTTTCGAATTGGCGCCACCCAGTTGTATTAGCACCTACTATGCTCAGGTTCGGTGTGCCAATGGCATAGAGTGAAAAACCACAAAGAGATGTATATAAAGTTTTACAATTGAATATATTAACCAAAAGGTGATGATATTTACAATGAGACGAAACAAGTTTCGGCCATAAGCCTTAGTCCTAACAGGAGGCCCAATGGGCCTGCATCGCTCACCTGGTATAAAACTCACACTTGTAACCTTAAAAGTGATCTAAAATAAAGCTACAGGCAAAATATCAGTATTTATGATTAAAATTCGTTCAAAAGACAATTATTTTTTTAAAAACATTTCACCCATGTGATTGAAAGTTGAACAAAGTCATTATGTTGAACACATTGTATAGCCTTTCATCTCAGGATGAAACTTGCAAAGTATAAACATCCTGGGACCCATGGTTATTCATAAGAGGTTGTTTAAAGATTTTAAACAAATTTGACCCCTGTGACCTTGAATATAAGTCAAAGTCATTCACTTTAACAAACATAGTAGTCCTTGATCCCAGCATATGCTACTAACTAAATATCAACATCCTGAGCCTTTTGGTTATTCAGAACAAGTTGTTGAAATATTTTAAACATATTTGCTCCTTGTGACCTTGAATATGATTCAAGGTCATACATTTAAACAAACTTGGTAGCCCTTGATCCTAGTATGCTACTGACTAAATATCATCACCCAGGGCATTTTGGTTATTCAGAAGAAGTTGTTTAAAGTTTTTAACATATTTGACCCCTGTGACCTTGAATATGGGTGAAGGTCATTTATTTGAACAAACTTTGTAGCCCTTTATCTCAGCATGCTACTGGCCAAATATCATTACCCTGGGCATTTTGGTTATTGAGAAGAAGTTGTTTAAAGTTTTTAACATATTTGACCCCTGTGACCTTGAAAATAGATGAAGGTCATTTATTTGAACAAACTTGGTAGCCCTTCATCCCAGTTTGCTTCTGGCCAAATATCATCACCCTAGGCCTTTCGGTTATTAAGAAGAAGTCGTTTAAAGTAAAATATTGACGACGGACGACGGACGGACGACGGACAGACGGACGGACGGACGGACGGACGACGGACGCCGCACCACGGCATAAGCTCACTTGGCACTTTGTGCCAGGTGAGCTAATAATACTGTAATGTAATAATGTATAAACACAAATGGGTGGAGGTAACCCTTACATGTACCAGATACTGACTAGTGTATAGAGTTATCAAAAAGGCCAAAATTGCTAATAATTATCAACGAATCTCAACGTAAAGGAGAGATAAAAAGTATAAAGTTGAAATGAATGAGGTATAGACTAAATATGAAACTGGTGTGCCCTAGGTATAACTACCCCCCTGTTAAGGTGTTTCCCTTCATATAATGACATATTCCCAAAACCACACACTACATTATGTCCAACCCCCCTACCCAAAAGCTTTGTACTACAGAAACAGTCCGCTGGCGGAACGAGTGACAAACACACTACAAACCGGACGCTGACGGGACGATTATAAGATTAACGCTATCGGGACGACTCAATAAGGAGGCTTACCTCACCTGAGAGTAGAGGTAAGAACTATAGTCGGCAGCCGACCAGAAAACAGAGCCCCGAACACCTTGAACTACCCGACTAAATGCCCGCGAAAGTAGTCTCTAACCACAATTCTCTACTAAACAAAATCCTACGTGACGAATGATTGGCTGAAACCGAGACGAACATCCAATCACAAAGCGGCTAACAAAATATAACCACGTCCGCCAACATGACAGCGAAATAGGACAACAAACAGATCACTAAGTGTTCTGTAACAAAAAACCGGAATTAAAATAATACAAATAACGCACGGTATTAATAAATGGAACCTAGAGGTAACACACTATCTCCGCTAGCCAAATGACCTAGTGTCACGTTATACAAAGGTGTGTATAACTCTAAAATTGATAATGGCCAAAACCGCCTCTGCCACACGTGCATGTGTGTATGTGTGCTTGAGGCATGTTACGTTGGCGGAATTGCCACCTTGTGAAAGCGCGGATCTGATGCCGACGTTATAGTGCTATCTCACTGAAAAACCATGCCGAAGGCACACACCAGGCACAGCATTCTACCCAGAATAACAGCTTCAATTTTTAACGACGGAACCCGTTGTCTTCCTCACTTCCACGAACATGCAGCGTGTAACAAACGGTGAATGTTTTTCTCGACTCCCGACCCGCAGGCATGCAGTGATACAGGGATCCAAGCGGACGCTTCTTAATAATCTGAACAAAGGGCCTTAACTCTTAGTCGCGGAACCCTATTAAATACTAAAACAAGAGCATTTCAGGGGATTCAAAAGTTAAGCATTTTTTGCGAAAGTAGAGAAAAAAGCAAGGAAAATAGTTATCTGGACAAAATACTGTTGACGTCGAGCCAGCAAGTCACTAACACTATGACTTAATACGCATTGTTTAGGGGGGGGGGGGCAGTGATACAGGAATCGTTCATATTCAGTAACAATCTTTTTCTCTTTATCCCAGAGCTTTATGTTAGGACCATAAGGCCAAAACAAGTCTATTAGTGTAAGTGTATGTACTTAATATTTTATTTATACTTGATCTCATACCGTTAATGCAGTATTATTATTTGAAGTTGAAACAGGAAGGAAAGCGACTATGTCTTGTTACCATGGATAAAAAACCGTTTGCTAGTTTTTAGGTAACCTGAGCTTTAGCTCAAGTGACGTATTGCTATCCGTCTTCGTTCGTCGTCGTGCGTGGTCCGTAAGCATGTTCAATTTTCAACTTAAGCTGAAATACTGTAGAAGGGATTTCATTGATACTTTATGGAAATGTTATTGACATCTCTCTGACCAAGTGTTGTTATTTTTTGGGTCGATCAGAAATCCAATATGGCCACCACGGCCGCCATTTTTAAAAACTATTTCAAACTTAAAGTCAAGTTCTACTGGGCCTGTTTACTGAAAGTAAGTATGAACGATCAACTCATGGTCCTGACAAAGTGTTATTGTTGGTGAGGTCAGAACTCCAATATAGCCCCCAAAGGGCGCCACTTTGAAAAACTGGGCCGATTTAACTGAAACTTGGTAGCAATGATCGAGTCATAGTCCTGGCAAACTTAACTTAACGTTATACTTCACTATTTTTTGACTCAAATTGGAAGGGATGATTGATATCATTATCTCCACTTCATATCTCGACAAAAAATAAATACTGTAGGACTCAGGTGACCGTTAAGGCGCATGGGCCTCTTGTTCCTTTATGTTTTTTATTCGATTGAGTAAGCTGTGCTTAACATGTTGTCAAACCATTTATTTTACGAGAGTCCTTGACGGTGTTCATGAAATATTTTTTAGGGGCACAATATCTTGATATTGTGCCCCTAAAAAATATTTTTATATATTTATATATTGATATAAACTATTTTTAGTTTATTTTCTCCATTTTAACTGATTGCAATATCAACCAATACAAAAAACAATGATACTACTAGTGTACACTGCCATTGAAATGGACCATAAAAGGTTTAATTTTTACAAGATTTAATTCTAGAGTTATTAAATTACGAGCGAAAACACAACTTGGAAGATAGCCTTGCTAAGATACTAGTATAGGTAGTATAAATACATAATTTTGCATTTTGATCGGAAGACACGTCAGCACAAATCATCACCGACAAGTAATTACTCACATTCCCGGGTTTCAAAGCTTTTGATGAACTCTTATTGGTACAATAATTAACTAATCAAACGAACCCAAGATAACAAGCACCATTAAGACTTATAAACATTCATTTGGGTATTCAAGCGACGTTTCTGACATTTTCTTCATTTCCTAAGGCCATTATTTTGAAAAATAACAAATAATTCGTCAAAGTCCTGATGTCACGCTCAAACGCAGTGTAATCATTTGGCGCGGCGTTTGTCTGTCTGTCTGTCAGTCTGTCTGTCTCTATATTAAAAATAATGAGGTTAATAGCTCTGAAGTAAGGCAGACAACACATCTGTTCAGAATCCTGTGTCATTTATTTCTGTGTATAGCGATCCGTTGTCGGGGTTGTTTACTCATTTGGGCGGCCATGCTGCAAGAGGTATTGTTTTCTTACAAAATTGCCACTATCTATAGGGCATGTTGGACAGTTTCTACACAAATCTCCTCAAGCAATACTGCTTTATCACAATCCAGTAACTGTTGCTTCGAAAGAATATGACTTTGTATCAGGGCGCCGCTATATAAGAGTCGAAAGATAGCGATTGCCTTTTAACGTAAAAAATAAATGTACATTGTACAAGAGTAATTGTGTATCTTCTATACACGTTTGTACGTTAAATTAACATAATCATTGAGATAACGAGTAAACCTTTAAGTCTGTGTAATATGTAAATGTGTGTGCCAGCATATTAACAGTGAATATCTCATAGACAACATTTTAGTTTTTATGGGAACTGATACGTAATTCGGTGAAGAAGTAGCTTTTAAGTAAATGTCTGTGTCGGTGTATGAACAGGGTGTCTCCTGTATAAATAAAACGTTTGATGATAAAGAATGTGAATGTGTGCAAGTTACCATTGAAAATTAAATGTCGCAGTTTCTACGCCTGAACGATTACACTTATACGCACGCTTTTCTCAATGTGTAATTTACTTCCTGTTTCATGTTCAACAAACCTCCTTCCCGGATGATTGCCATACCTTTTCGGGAACCTGCATGTCCTAGTTGACTGTTCTAAAACAACAGGAGTGCCTGTATCAAATAGTGTTCTGTAATTTGTGACAAAGAAATTTTGGATTAACATACCTTACTATACGTATCAAGATCATAAGGCGACATTACGCATGTGCAATAAACCTAGTGTTGCTGCCTTGTTTGTCATTCTCGGGGATATCGGAGGTTACTGGATATAGTTTCAAACTAACGAAACGGTAAGAATACATTCAATAGAGAAAATGTGCATTTAAGTGTAATAATTCTCTGACATTGTCGATAATACGACCGATAACATAATTGAAAAAAAAACTTCTCATCAGAAACACACTGGATAACAGATAATATGTTTTCCCTTGATCTGGATAAATCCAATGTGTACCATGACTATCTTAAACTAGTTTGCGCTAAGGTGACGCTTTAGGGACCATAACCGGGTGGAGTATAGTAATTAAAATCTCCTTTTTGGTTTCACAAGTAACAGTATACAACTTTACACTACATAAGAGAACAATAATTGAGTTAGGATAACCGTTCATTATAATGTCTCGCTGGTATCGCTTTGTTCAAATATTTCTTTATAATAAGCAGGAAAGAAAAGAGAAATCAGCAAAAAAAAAGAAATAAATAAATTTTGTAAATTAATTAATAATTAATTATGCTTAATTGCATTTAAGCAACATGCAGTACTACTTTCCTTTCTTAATCTATTAAATCTAAAATCGGTGATTGGCATACTAGCTACAGAGTGAGGCACCGAGACGAGGTTGACCTTGCCCGTCTTCGGATGGGTCATTCATACATTACCCATTGTTATTTGCATAAACGTGATGTCAAGCCTCAAAGCATAGCGTGTCAGGAACCATTTAAAGTAAAACACTTCTTATTAGATTGTATCGACTTTAAGTCAACTCGAGAACATTTCTATAATAACATTACATGTCTTAAATCTCCTTTCGAAAACATAATTGTCTCTTCAATCTGAAAGCTGTTGGTCTTTTTAATAAAATGTGATTCATCATAGCCACTTTCAATTTCAAATTGACGTTTGTCTTTATAATCTTTAAGTTTGTTTGATGTTTTTATTTTACATTGGTTTTTGTTCGACCATTTGTTGGCCCTAATGACCTATCTTGTGTTTTGATGGGCCGTTAAGCATTTGATAATAATAATAGTTTTCCTTTTTCGGAACGCAAATTTTGGAATATATAAACTTCAGAATGATGAATGTACCAAATACAAAAATGAGTTTAAATCAATGGTGTACATTTGTTTCAAAATATTTAAAAACCAATATCTAAAAAAAAAGACAAAAAACGAAAAACAAACAACTATCAATCATTGCAAGTTTATATGAATTGTGACACAGCCTCCGATTGGTCAATCGAAACAATTTGCGACGGTTTTACCACGATATACCGTCCGCATATTTTTCATTTGCATATTAAGCCGGGTACTTTTTGTAAATCACTTTTTAGACGTTGGTGTCTATGGACAATAAAGAATTGTCAACACTCTAAACATATTTTGTTTGCATAAGGGGAAAGGATGTAGCATTGTTGTAATAAATCAATTTCTCACTAATTTGCATATGATATTATAAGAAACCTATTATAAATAAACTTTAATCGATGTTTTATTTTATAAAAAATATTTTATTGTCATAAACGTCTCTTATTTCTCTCTAAAAATCAGGTGTTTTTCTTCGCTATTTGCGATGGAAAAATGTCTTTATTTCCTTTTTTCCATTATTATCATGTTAAAAATCAAACAATTCTGTAATAAATGAATTTCAATAGTTTGAGAAATATGATGAAAATATATTGCAATGCCAACGTCAGGTACTCAAGACTTTTAACAGTCTGCCGTCAGGCCAAGCATCTTTCCTGAAAATGCATTGTATAATATAGATCAGATTCGTCTCGTTGTTAGTCTGTGGCAAACCCTTCAAGAATGACTCAACAAAGCAATTCAAGTTAAAGTGGACATTTCTTTGTAGACAATTAAAATTCAACTGACAAGAAACACAATACAAAAGTACACTCTCCACAGCAGCCCAAAAGGTCACCATTACAAGTGCATATTTATTCAAAAGGTTTTTATAATAATATAACAGATCTAAAATTACTTTTCGAAACAATCAGTATCTCTACAATTCTAACCTACCTAAAAACTGTTGGTCTGTTCAAAAAGTTAAAACTAAATCATAGCCAATTTTACAATGTTTGAAGTTGACGTTTGCCTTTTACCTTTTCGTTATTTTGATGTAATTGTCTTAAACATGTTCTATATACTTGTAGTGGCCCTAATGAGTTCTGTTGTGTTGAAGGGCCGTTAAGAATCAAATGATAATGATATTTGGTTAATATAGACTTCCAACAACATCGCACATTATGGTTTTAAAATGTCATACTTATGGAACGCTAAAAGCTCATCAAATATATCAATTATGAAGAATTTAACGTGAAATTCGTGTGACAATAATGGTACAATAATACTGTCAGTTTCTAACTTTATGTACAAAACATAATCACACAGATTTCTTAGGTATTAGGCCGACCGGCACAACGCTATGAAAAGTTCGAAGATACTTTTTTTCAGTTTGGGGCAAGGGATTATTTATTGCTATTATTTTGTACATGTTTAATATTGACATGAAGTTCAAAGGTAAACATTCTTATCTTTATAATCTGACTCTGCCCTATTAGAACTACTGATCAGTTTTAGGTTATAAAGAACACTATTTAAAAAGTTCACTTCCGATTGAATAATGTGCTAATAAATTACAGTAAAAGAATAATAATACGCATAATTGCAGTTTCATTTTGGCACAGCAGGGTGTTAAAAATATATACTCGGTCCGTATGCCCAAGAAATATGTGTGTTCCCTGTAACATGTCGGAAAAATTTAGGTCACAAATTTTATTTTAACAAAGAGTTTTATATGGTTCATATGTTTACAGTGCTGCTTTGAAAATTGCCTTAAAAGTTTAGGAAAGGCACACGAAATGTAAGGGGAGATAGGGTTATCGAACATCAAATATTTTTGTTTGGCTTAATGTAGTTAAATCTTTGTTTTTGAACCATAAGTATTTACCGAGCATCTGTTTCTGCATATATAGTACCTACCTCAAAATATGCGTGCATTTCCACAATACGTTTAGCTATGTGCCTTTGGTTTCACTATATGTCGGGTCTATATCGACAACGCCAAGCAAAGCAATAGATTTTACAAACATGATGCATCCAAGTAAAACAGAGAACTGTTCATCAATACATCAAAATCAGATCTAGTGTCCAACTGGAAGAGTTATATATAACTGTCAAATTGGAATCAAAATAAAACAGGTGATTTAGTTGAATAAATGAAATTCGATAGACCTGAATCACCTACCATATGTATATAGAGAACTATATATAACAGAAACTATGTAAGTGATACCAGTAGCTATTTATAGCTATTTACTTTACAGATCGTATGTAAGGGTAACATCAGCGTATCGTGCATCAAGAAACAAAACATCTAATTAAAAGTGGCTACAATTTAATCAGGGAACTTTTGTAACAATCTAGCCTTGATGGGTTCATCATCCGAACCGGTTAACCCGTTGTCAGTATAATATGACCGTGCAGAATGCTGTGCCTTCGGCATGGTATTTCAGTGAGATAGCACTATAAAGTCGACATCAGATCCGCGCTATCACAGGGAGGCAACTACACCAAAATACCCTGCCTCCGGCACACATACACACATGCAAGCATACATAGCACACATGAAGACATGTACTTAAATGACCTTAGCTGATAATAAGACGTCAAACAAAATAAAACCAGACCAAACCAAATCCCAACAGAACAGTCTTTTTTAAGATAAAATAATTAACAAAATAATTTTGGATTATTTCAGAGATCTGATACAGGACTTCCATTGGAATGGGGAATGGTTGTAGCGAGCTGACCACATCAATAGTGGCTCTACTACTCACGGCGTGGAACGATCGGTGGCGACACAGGGGTTTATGGTACTATAACGGTACCAAACCGCCATATTTTTCTCCCTCATTTTCCTTACGATCATTCTTGTATTAACTTTCAACAATGATATAAATATTGCCGAAAGTACGCGTTGGCAAAAAGTGTATGCTTTAGATGTACTAGCCATGATCAAGATCTGCAGAATGCTTTCCCTTGTTTCTCACGGATGTGCCACGAAAAATAACTGCCATGACTGTTTCTGTATTGTTGAAAATATTCCAAAAGTAAAATTAATCGTGTTTTGGATTTGTGGAAAGGTTTCCAGCTTGTCTTTAGCTTTCTTATATTACAGTCAGTTCGATTTCAATATCCTGAGGGTCAATGCCTGGTATATCATGCTTTATACTATTACGCTGGCAATGCCATTCGCAGGAATAATTTCCGTCACTTGTCTTGTTTATTTACAGCTGAAACGTTCTACATTCTTCCCTTACACAATATATGTTTATAAGCAGTGCGACTGTTTCTGTATGGCTGCATAGCGTCGTAATAGATAACGAATCATTCTCTTCAAATGATCTAGATAAACAGTTTCACGATACAAAATTGAAATTCCTACAAGCTTTAAAAGTCAGGCTTTTCTCAGCCAATCCAAACTAATTCTAGGTACGTGTAAGCAGGAGTTTTTTTTATTTGTTGTCTACAAGAAAGTAATTGGAGACGTTGTCTTCAGAGGACGTTTTGTGGCGCATCTCTAATGCATCAGGACATTGTTACAATAGTAATTCTTTAAATGAAGCAGAAATATATCCTCTCCTGAGAAATTACATACCACGAAGACTGTCTAGAGACGGAACCATCCGAATAGAATATACAACAGTCTGTCTAAACAAGGAATCACCCAAACAGAGTATACAACAGTCTGTCTAGAGAAGGAATCACCCAAACAGAGTATACAACAGTCTGTCTAGCGAAGGAATCACCCGAACAACGTATAAAACAGTCTGTCTAAAAAAGGAATCACCCGAACAGAATATACAACAGTCTGTCTAAACAAAGAATCACCCCAACAGAATATACAACAGTCTGTCTAAACAAGGAATCACCCAAACAGAGTATACAACAGTCTGTCTAAACAAGGAATCACCCGAACAACGTATAAAACAGTCTGTCTAAAAAGGAATCACCCGAACAGAATATACAACAGTCTGTCTAAACAAAGAATACCCCAACAGAATATACAACAGTCTGTCTAAACAAGAAATCACCCGAACTGAGTATCATCTCGCTGTCCACTTTTTTTAGTTTCGATCTTACCATAGGTAACGTTATCGGTTATATAGTTTGGTTGGTGCACTGAGGCAAAATGAAACCATATGGTGTAGTCGAGTATTCCTGTGCGATAGTGACATTCCTCGCGAGTCTTTACTGCCTTTTTCATCAATGTAAGCCAAATGGAAAACCTTCATCCGTAAAGGTCAGTGAGTACGTTTACCTTAAGTCCGCTTTTGCTAGGAACATGATGGACGTCTGTGATATCCTAACGAGTAACTTGTCGCCAGATAGCAACTAAGAGTTGACAATTATTTCGCACGTTTTCGTACTCGTACATGTTTATCTGCAATTTGCTTATCTGCTTCACGCCAACAGATGTCGAAAATCTAACCAACATTTAAATATTTATCTACTGGATTGTGTATTGATATTTCTTCTAGTTATCAAAATGAACTTACAACGTTTCCAGGCATCAGGAATGTTGAAATATATATCCTTGTGAGCTTCAGATTTTCATCGGTACTTGAGATGGTTACAACATTTTAGGTCTACAGGTACTTGTGGATAGCACTCCGTCACGTGTCAAAAAAATAAAAATATACATGTGTCAATTTAATCAGAATATCATTAAAATGTAGTAGTTATTTTTTTTCCAAATGTTATGCAATTGAGAATACATGGAAAAGGTTACATGCTTCCTGCTTCTTGTTTTTTTACATTGAGCGCAATAAACATTTGGTACCGACTGGTCGCTTTGTCAACCTATGATGGATAAACAAAGGGACCAGTCGATCTTGAAACGTTGCAACATGTTGAATACGTATATTGTTTGTGTAGAAAGTAAAATGTTGATATACATATTACCTACATTATGTAACTGATTAATTCTATTTAAGTCATTACCAAATTATTTAGTTAAATAGGGATGTAAATGAATGTATACGGACATGAATAAAATAAAATAATTAATCGATACCCAGAATAAATTTTGCGGGTTGGACATTGGGCGAATGTACATTTCAACCGTTGAGGGCGACAAATTAACTGGGCGTAAACTTTGCAGGTTTACAGTACACGTTTTAAACTTTTGTGACATGATTATGTTAAAAACCAGTGTATAGTCTACATTATAATTGAAGATGTGTAAGAGATATAACAATGATTGTCAATATACAATATTAAATTGTGACGAAACTATTACGTAACAAGAGCTTCTTAGTCTACATGTGGTGTGAATGACCGTGCCACATTATCGTTATGTCTCATTTACACAGTACACGTTTTAGTTGTTGTGGCATAATTATATTAAAAAGCAGCTTATTGTCTACATTTTTATCTAAGGCTCAAAAACAAGCAGCCATATCTATTTTAGATGTTCCACAAGACACTCCATCCAAGGCCATGTGTTAAGCTTTAAATTGGATGCCAATCGAGAAGCAGTTGAAAGTTAGAATATTATGTATGTTATTTAAATGACGAAATGGATAAGTACCAAATTACTTAGCAGAATTTATTTGTCTAGCTAGGAATGTCCATACAAACAGTACTAGGTTTTCGTAAGCAAATCACATGTGTATAGAAAAACATTTTATTCCAAACCTTTTTTCATTGTTGATATTCAACAGTTCATCAATGGAATGTACTTCAAGAAGAAAGAAGAGTTAAAGAGTGTCAATACATTAAACAATTTTAAGCAGAAACTTGTTAAACATTCTCATACATTTTAAAATTAGCATGAAATGAAACCAATTTTGTTTAAAATTATGCTACATAAGCATATAACTAGGTCAATTTTTATGTTTTTGCTATGTTAGGATTGGTGTAAATTAGGCATGTGCCATTTAATTAATGAAAGAACTTTGCATGATAATTGTGCATTTTGTGATATTCTTAACTCAAGACAGCCGTGATAATAGTTGTAATGTGATCGTGTCTTAGAAAGTTATGATACTATATATGTTATGCTATTGTGTGTTTCTTATATATATAAATATTCATCATGTTTATCAAATAATTAACACATGTATTGCATTAAGAGGGCTATATGGAAGATTAGCCCATGGCTAAACATGTATTTATCCTCAAAAAAGAATGTCTATTAGTAATATTATTATTATTTTTTATTAATTGAGGGTGTGTGAGAGTACATTGTAATAACAGTATATCTCATATATATTATTTAGTCGTTGGTAGAATATGACATGATCAGATAAAAAGATCTTCTAAGTCTACATTTTGTGTGTATACGTGTATCACAGTACTGTAATATCTCATTTACACCATTTACGTTCCATGCAACTTGTACTAAAGAAAGCGGACGTGTGCAAATCTGCATCCAAAAATAAATGTTATATTACTTGTGTGTATAGGCGGTTAAGGTTACTGAACCATGACAAGAAATACACTGTTTCTCCAAACGTATAATTTACTTCCTGTTTTCATTTTTACAAGCAATACTACCTGCTTTAATTCTATGTTTATTTGGAAACCTATAGATCATTATTTCCAGGAGTACCTGTATCAAAAATTGTCTAGTTATTTGTGAAAAGAATATTCACACCTTACTGGTTTAGTGTCGTATACGTGTATCAAGGTCGTTAGGTAACATGACACGTATGCAACACACATAGTGTTGCAGACTTGTTTATCCTTCCCGGAGATCTCGGAGGATACTGGATACCGAACCAAATTAAACTAACGGTAATACATTTAGTGTAGAAAAAATGTATCTATGTTAAACATTATGTTTACGTTGTAAATATTCTCTTTCCTTCAATAGGGATGGTGTATGAGACATATTTACATACGGCTTAAAAAATTCAAAACAAACGTCATCCTATAATGCACAAGCACCGGTAAAATTACAGAGCGAATACAGAACGAGTTAGTTCCCTTGAAATGTATTATAACAGCATATTTTTTTCATTATTTTAGAAAATCTGATACAGGACTTCCATTGAAATGGGGAATTCCTGTAGCGAGCTAATTACATCAGTTGTGGTCCTACCAATCACGGCGGGGAACTATCGGAGGCGACAGAATGGCTCCCGGTATTATGACGGTACCCTATCGTCCTTAGTTTTCTTCCTCATCTTCCTCGCAACCGTCATCATATTAACCTTCAGCAAGGATATCGATATTGGCCAAGACAAGCGTCTTGCGATCGTTTTCATTTTACTGGCTGTGATCATGGTATTAGGTATGTTTGCATGTGCTATCGTAGGATGTTTTATAAAAACATACGGACTTGGCCGTGTGGTGTTGAGGAGACAAGAGAGAAGTGTTACCAAGCTACAGTTAATCTTCCTCTGGATATTTGGAATAGGTTCGGGCTGGCTTTCTGCTTTCCTTGCAGGACAGCAATTCCAATGTGATATTTTAAGTCAAAAGATTGACGGAGGGGGTGATGTTTTCTGGTACTCCAGAGGAATTTTCAATGTCATTTTGACGATTATTTTATTCATACAAATAACTTTCATCAATTACTTTGTTCAGTTTCAAATGAAGTGTTCAACATCCGTCCGTTACTCATTATTTATCCTTGTGGGTGCGAATGTGTCTGTATGGTTGCATAGCATCATCACAGACAACGAATCATTCCCTGAGAACATTCCAGGCAAACACTTCCGAAACAACAGTAAAATACTTGCCTGTCTACGAAACGAGACTATTGGATTCCTTCTCGACATTTCAAACCCAATTTTAGATCCATGTTTACTTGAGTTTTGTTTGTTGTCTACAATGTTGCTATTTGAGATGTGGTCTCCAAATACTCTACAGACCTCTTCTGAAGGGACCTTCTCAAGAGACGACTCTCGAACGTATCGGGACAATGTTGAATCGAATTATACTTTGAACGATACGGAACGAAATCCGCTCCTAGGAAACGCAAATCAAAATCCCGAAAACAGTCTATCTAGACACGGAGTCACCCGAACAGTGTATCATCTCATTGTCCTAGTGCTAAGTATCGTTGTTACAATAGGAAACGTTATTTGTTACGTTGTTTGGGTGATGCACCCAAACAGTGGCCAAATTCGACTGGTTATAGAACAATTTGGTTTAGTCGAATTATGCCGCTACGATCGGGGCGATTTTGGTGGGATTTTATTGTCTTGTTCATTATTGTATACCAGATCGGGAACCTAAACTCCTGACGGTCAGTGAGAACGTTTACCTATCGTCTGCTTTTGCTATGATCATGATGGGCTTCTGTGAAATTCTAACAGGTAACTTGTCGCCAGATAGCACCTCGGAATCGACAATAATATCGCACGTTTTCGGACTCGTACAAGTTTATCTGCAAGTTGTGTTTCTGCTTCATGCCAACAGATGTCGAAAATCTAACCAACATTTAAACATCCACGTACTGGATTGTGTATTGATATTCCTTACAGTTATCAATATTAATTATTGGATCGTAGATAGCTTCGTACTTACTTCGTTTCCAGGCATCAGGAATGTTGAAAAAGTTGTCCTTGGTGGCACTCTATGGAATCTTTACCATAGAATACTATTACCGGCTGGCGTGTTTTTCAGATTTTCGTCGGTACTTGAGATGTTTACGATATTTGATATCTACAATACTGGTAGATAACACTCCGTAATAAGTCAAATAAACAATTTTCCCCTGTGATGTGTCATGGCATGGCATATGTATGTTTTTTTTTTACTAAGTATCTCTATATTGATAAGCAAGAAGCTTTACATGTGTATATTTGTTTCCTTGTGTGGTTTTATTTACCCTCGCAACAGGTAACATACAGTACATGTGAAGACGGTTGCCTAGAGAAACGAGAGAAAAGAAATGGTTTGGTTGGGTTGAACGTCCTATCAACAGCTAACGTCATCCCTGGATTGGTAGAGTCCCCGTATTGGCCGCCTCGAAAGAAATACAGTAGGATACATTGGGAAAATCAAATTTTGCATTCGAACTGCATGGGCGAAACAATGTAGAACCAATTATTGATAGCTTAGAACGAATTATTATGCTTTCTTCTTCAAATATTATACCAGAAAATGTATTAAGAAGCTGCGATATATTTTGATATTTGTCTTGACAGCATGTTTTGTTTCACATTTTCCTGTCTTTAAAAAATATCATAAACAATGTGTAAATATGACCCACTCATTATTTCATATGTTGAAGACATTTCGTATGACATTTCCTTGTACGTGTATTATATTATATATAATGTATGGAACATATAAAATGGACTAAATAATGTAATATGTTCTATGCACTGATTATTATTTACAAAGTACACATAATGTAACATACCTATAACTAAGAAAATGTTTCATACACCGCCTTTTTAATTAACTTTTAATTAAATCTATTTACGATATTATGTAATAATAAATCAACGCATTTTTTTCAATTTGTTTTATTGATAGCTCCAGCTGCAGACACTGCTGGGGGTATCTTTTTTTCCTTCCTTCACAGGTACGTCTCTTGTTTTAGTCGAGATCATGATCAGATTGTATCCCCCAGTGCGGAGAAAGCCTCGTGCAAAATAGCACGCACAAAATCATAACGTCATAAAAAGAGAACGGCGATTCTGACGTCATAAAAGGTGAATTACGAAATTTCGTACGCCAAATATGCTTTTGTTTACAAATGTGACTTCTGTCAGTTAAGTTGTAACTGAAATAATAGGATGGTAGAAAAAAAACTTTAAAAAAAATTTAAGAGTGAAACAGGGAAATATGCAACCCTCGGGGTGATTATTAAGTTGTCTAACCCTCGACAGAGCCTCGGGTTTGACAACCAATTAAATCACCTCTCGGATTAGAGATTTCTTTAGCACACCCTCAAGGTAGGGGAAGATTCTATTATTATTATCCTTTGTTGAAGTTAAAACTAATGAGCCTTACCTAGACAAAAGTAGAAAGTATTTCACTAAAGTGCCTATATCTCATGGGGACGGACTAAGGAGTTATTCCACAGCAAATCTTATATACCACTGGTAAGGAGTGAGAAACCTTTAACAGTGAGAACATACTATCTATATACTTCTATGTTATCCAGCTGAAAATAACAATTTAAGTAAATCATATCAAATCAAACGAGACGATGTATGCAGGTTTAATAACGTAACCCCCAACTCCACTTAAATCAATATGTATAGCCGTGTGGTGCAGAATTATTAATTTTGGCATACTGTATCAATTATCAAAGAGAGGGTGCTTATAATGCGGTTTTGTTTCACTTATTATTTTCTAAAAAAGTAGATCTTATTCTGCAACTTTACGTTCTTGCTATGGCTTTGAATTTCCTTGTGGGCACCTCCCCTTGATAGGTCCTATCATGTGTTTGCCTTGCGTTCATGTTTCGAGATACAGGGTGATAGACTCTGCTGGTGTATTGCTTAGTACCCGATGTTTGCCGGCCGTAACCTTGATGTTCACAGCAACCTCTGTTAAGTAGTAGCATGGTACATAGTATAAACACTTTACTTATTATTCATTTGAAATTAATCAGTACCCCTCTATTTTTTGAAAATCATTTAATTACATGGTTTATGCAAAACACCTGCTGTTTCAACAATAGTTTTGAACAATTTGCATTTTCAACCTTTTTTTCCATGTAGCATCACCGATGGATCCTAGAAGGACAACACATCTGTATGGTGCAATGTATTTCATTTTTCGGCTTACTGTATCGAATACAAAATTGTATAGGTGTAAATGTATGCGTGTGTCTTGCATTCATCTTTAAACTCAATAATACAAATTGCATTTTATTTTGTGTATATTCTCGATCAACGTCACGCCATATAATTAAATGAAAATATGTATGTGTTTATACGGGTATAAATAAAAAAGAGATTACCAGATGAAATTAACTGAAAGCTATGATTTTCTTTTATATATAAAAGTTATATTTGTTGAGATGTATTAAATGTTCCTAACCTTATTAAAGGGAGACAACTCCGTTTGGCATATGTCGTTTGACTTTTTCTATTAAATATACAGGAACTACACCTTCTGTTTGTGATTTCTTGCTTATAATGACTCCATGGTCAAAACTTACCCATGAACATAAAATTACAGTACATATCGAATGTACAAGAAACAAATGGTCAAAAGATAAAAATTCCACGGAAGAACTTTTGGTATAAGGACTCCTAACTCATGCACTCTCCGAAGAGCAGTTCCTTTTGAGTAACATGGACGGAGAGCAGTTCCTTTTGAGTAACATGGACGGAGAGCAGAGTGCACACTGCCGTAAAGAAAACTGATAAGCTGCTTCACAAGTCGCTCAGCAGTCACCTTTCTTCTGTAATTGCGATAAGAAAAACAAGTTCGACACAGGTTGGTAGTTTTTCATTTTGTTTTTGTCTAAAGCAGGTTTCTTCAAAAGTGAGCAAACGACGGCTGTTTTTGGAAACAGTGGAACAATGGATTCATCATGAGACTTTTTGGTGATGGAGCTAAGCAAAAGAAACAGACATTTTACACACAGTTTCAAATGTTATTATCAATATCACACAATTTAGTTTGAGTCTTTGCAAATATAACGAGCAACTCATCATTGGACATTTGATCAAGATTGTGGATGCTCACCTTCAAATCGAATGCCATCCGACGTAGACGCGTTGACAATATCAGCTGGAAAGTTAATCTCACCAAATTAACGTTCTTTTATCAATGAAAACTGAGCTGAAGTCTTTGGTCAGAAGCGTTAACTCGGAGGGGTATACATCCTTTCCGATCCATGGGGATCTTGTGGAATATTCCTCTATTTAATTGAATTTAAAATCTCGCTGAGGCAAAGCGAGAAGATTGCTCACTTTCCGATATTGCTAGTTTGGTCCTTTGAAACGATCTGTTCTGTCCTATGGTACTACTGCTTTCCCTCGCGACTTTCTTCTGTTTTCCGCCGGTTTATTAGGTATGGCACAATACACAGGGACCTGAGAATCTGTTAGTTATGTTTTTACCTAAACTAAGGTGTTCAGACTAATTTTACACACGTTTAAGGGTTTAGATCTATTTTCGGTAAAAATGCCACCCCCAATGATAATATAGGAGAGGGGGTATATTTTTTACCGAAAGTTTATCTAAACCCCAAAAACGTGTAACCTAATTACTCTGAACAGACTAATTTAGGTCCAAATTTAGCTGTAACAAATCTTCATGTCCCTGTGGTACTATGTACATTAAGGTAATATCCTGAGATGGCATTCTAGACACATTTTCATTGGTTGATAGTTTGATTATATAGTAAACCCTGATATATACCATGACTAAGAGGTTGTGTGCTATTTTACCGAAGGTTAAACAATCTGCAGCATTGTACACAGGGTTTCCGTGCTAGTTCAAGGGAGGAAACTCGGCTTGGCATATACTGATCCAATACTTTTGTGATTTCTTGTTTATAATTATTCACTAGCCACGAATTTTTCCATATCCATTTTCGGAGTACTGGCTAAGTGCTTTCATTCACAGGACCTGATAAATTGTTACAGCTATATTTGGACCTAAACTAAGCAGTTCAGAGTTGGGTGTTTACATTATCTTTCGGTAAAAGTACCCCGATCCCAAATGGGATGATATATACTTTTGGGGTGGCATTTTTACCAAAATATGACCTAAACCCATGTAACAAATTATCAGGTCCCTGTGCTTTCATTGTCTAGTTATTTGAGTATGATGTCAGTTTATAGTACATTGTCAAGTTATAATCCCCTTGTGACGTCATGATACATTGTCAGTTTTCATCCTAAACTGTGTGCTTGCAAGTCTGTGGCGTCCATAATCACGTTATTTTATCTTGAGTTACACATGACACATGTAGTATGGCCATGCATTAAGCCCTTAAACCCAGAAAAAACATCGCACTATACTCCAGACACCGAAGATCTATTAATCTCATGTATGTCTGAATCGAAGCTGGAATGTTTTGAAAGTATCTAGTTTTTTGAATGATCAAAATATATAATTGTATTGCAAATTCAGAATAAAATTGTCAACAGAAATTGGAAGATGGGAAATATGGAAAAGGAATGAACGAAATAAACGACGAGTTTCATTCTATTTTAGTGTCTTTGTACTGTAACTAGAGAAAAATCATTATACTCGGTCAATATTTTGCGTGAACGAGTGAACAATTTGAAATGTTCCCCTATAATGAGCTTGGGAAATAAGACATAAAAAATCCAAGAAATCTCTGTTTTATCAAATACATATAAAGTTTGTCTTTCTAAATGATAAGCAGATTTCATTGGGCCTCATAACTGTTGTGCATACTGTAAATATGTGTGGGAATAAAACCTGTTTCCCACTGACGTTATAGGAGTCAGTTTAAGGAGTTGTGAGACACATCGGTAAGCTACAAGCAGATTGTTCGTAACGATATCCCACACCACCTTGCTGCTCGACGGTAGACCCTGTCGAGTCTCCTGAAGTCTCCCTGAAGAAAAAAGGATCCCAAGTCGAAGCGGTACAGAAAGTGTCATGTAACAGAGGTCATTGCTTTTTTCCCAATGCCTCCGCTAGGAGTCGAACCCTGGACATCTGGTTTATTAGTCTTACACTTTACCTAATGAGATGAAGAGAATTTCTCCCTAATTGAGTCGGTAATAAGCGGTCAGTATTTTACCAGGGTGACAAACGGTGCGGTCCTGGTTCACTTTATGTTTATAGTTCTTTGTATACAAAAAGCTAAATAATTTGGTAGTTTCATGGATGTGTTGCACGCTTTTCAAATCACAATTGCTCCAGCTAAGGTCTGAACTGACGATGCTTCCTTAGACCTAGGTATTTCTCGAAATGGGTGCAAAGATAAAGATAGCCGAATTTCCCGCTTAAATTCTTGGAGATAGCCTATTAGATGTAACCTGACATTGCTCGGGGTGAAATACCATCATCCGCCATATATGTTACTCCTCGCCTGTTCTTTATATTTTGTCCCAGCATAGACTTTTATTTTAGCATGATGCCATTTAAGCAAATGAGCAGTTGCATGTACATGTACGTCAAATTTCCCCACATACTATTTTGAATTTAATGGTTTAACAATACCTCCTCGTAACAGGCTTGTTGGGAGATTTCATAATTCTGAGTGATGCTGTTCAACAATTAAAAGTATTCGTGAACATTAATTGAAGTCTTTAATTTTGTCGACACTAATTTAATTTATGTCATATCAATTAAATTCAGCTTCTTTTATTGTTTCAGAAAATCTGAAAAAAAGAACGTAATATCACGAAATTGCTATCTTAGTCTGTGGTAATATATAGAACAACGCCATCAGAAGCCATCAGAAAGCACCACTAAGCTTCAAAAATGTTTTTTTTTAAATGATTGTTTTCATTTATTTCTCAATTAGTATATGTGTATAGCTAAATATAGATTATACAATACATTATAAATAAGTAGGTGTCATTTTTACAATAAAATCGTTCATGATCCGTGGTATTTAAATCCTAAACATTAAAATGTAACACAAAGCACGTATACGTATAAATATATCATAATATGAAATGTATGTTATTCAGGTAAAACTTTTCAATATACACTACACAGTACATAATGTATATGACAACAGGCGTGCTGGTACCGATGTATATATCATTAAAATGCTAATACGTCTGTCCTTTGTGATCACATAATTTAGCAAGTTTCAGCATGTGTATTTGGTTCAGTGGAAATCACTTATAGCTAGATCTACATAGTGAACAGGTGAAAGTAAATATATCCTCTTTAAATGCAATGGGCCATTCAGGTAAACATAACCTTATAGTACAGGTATTTATATCACGTGACTTTCATACGAGTCACTTGGCGGATTACCAAAATGCTTCCAAAATAACTCGAACATGGTCTGCTTCGTGTACATATAGATCTTAGCCGGGAAAATTATTTCAATGACAAAAACGTCGGAAGGGAAACTCATTCAACTTCGAAGACAAGCTAACGCTTGGTCCGGAATACGGATATAAACAGGACAGGTGTGTCATACACAGGAAAATTGATTGTTTCGTCGCACTAACCATGTGGATCGGCTGTGTATATATGTGTGTGCATTCTGAATGCCTGCTGGTGCTTGCATATTGCTAAATTTAAATCGTGTGTGTGGATACATTTCGACAAATGGAGGATCTTATTTATTGTTTATTTCGTCAATAGTGGAATTAAATGTTTTAGAATATAAAACAATGGTTTAGTCGTAAACAATACGGCACTGTGATCTGATAGATCTATATAGGACACCTCTATATATCGGGGGATTGTATTGAGGTGACGTTACTATGAACGCTTTGATGAAGATTGAAGAGTTCCACTGTTGACTTGAGCGGGGGATGGCCATGCAGATTGCTGGCACGTGGATGCAGGACAGTCTTGGACGACAGGTAACTAACCAGGTAGATCGTAATATTACGTGAAGTCGTTGGAGACGAAAGAATGATCAATGTTTATCATAACTAAACATTTAATGTGAAACTGTTGTTCTTCCCCAGGCACACAACTTTGACAAGTGGTGTCATTTCAGTGTTGCCTCCTTGGGAGGGGTCATTTCATTATAACAGTTGGGTGTAATTTAATTGTCCTGTGGATGGAATCTACACCCATCCTATAAACTAAGCACTCAGTTTGATAAAACTTTATGAAACATATGTGGGGTGTAAAAAAACCGGCTGAATCACTGTGGTATATATGCCTGGGCTAGTACTACAGGAAAGAAGTCTGATAAAATATATTGGATTGGTTTGGAGTGATAGGGTACAGTACACACTCTTGTTTCTTGTTGAGGGAGGAGGGGTACACAATAGACAGGCGCGTAGCTAGCCCCTTTACCATGTGTAAGCCCCGACATGGGGTTGCCGTAGGCAGCCCCCCCCCCCCCGAAGCGCGAGCAGGGGGAGGGTACGGGAGTCGGTCTTCCCCCTCCCGTAAGGGGGGTCTGGGGGGTCTCCCCCATGAACATTTTGTTTTCTAGAACGTCTCAGTAGCCATTTCCCACGGCCTGATGTCTGAGATAATGATATGTTGTAATTTATAATATAGTTTTAAAACAGGGGCAGGACTTGCCCCGGTCTCCCCTACACATGTATAATACATGTGTAGGGGGGACCGGGGCAAACACGGCCCCTTTTCTTTTTTCAAGACGTTATGGAAGGCATGTACTATATACTGTTGAAATGCATATTTATATATGTCATTTAGAAAAGAAATGTATTGTCTTTCATAAACTAATAAACAAATCTTAAACAAGACCATATTTTGGGAACTATTGGACTTTTTAGGTCGAGAGAGTTGGGGGCCGGACGAGCCCCGCCCTGAGGTAAATCCGGCCCCTACCAGGGCAAGTATGGCATGAAGGATAGAGAAGACAATTTACT